CATTAACGAGTGTATGGTATACATTTTGATTTAAAGCTTTCGTGACTGCAGGGATTCATATTTTTGGATCTTTCTGCAGTCGAAACGTCGTGAGAATTTTATTGTTTTATATTTGTATTATTTTATTGTTTCCCTTCTACGTGAATTTACTGTGTATGGTCTCTTTGCCACGTATGCCTCTTTCTGTATCAGTGTAATGGCAAGGGGGCATCTTCCCATGATTCACTGCGCATCTTTACATTGTTGGTTCCATATTCTTCGTTAATTACCATGCTACTGAATCACGTGTCACAGAGCAGCAGTGCACACTGATGTCGGAAAAAAGAGACTTGCCTTCTGCAGGCCACATTGGGTTGTTTACTTTTCACGATCAATTGCATACCAGTCAAAGCACTTCCACCTGCTCTCGTCTGCCTCTTTAATTCAATACTTTGATCCCTTCAGTAGCTGAGCAAGGTACAGACATAACACAAGGTAATTGTATCAGCCACTCCTTGGTGGGTTTCGCTCTCTGCCTTCAGTGTGCGTCGGTGCAATGATTGGAGTGGGACGGTTGCTTCTGGCACGGCATTTAGCTGCTCCCCCCAGCCAGAAGAGTGGTTATTGTTAATACGCCATTGGTGGGATGTGGGGATTAGAAGGACTCGCTGGTTCTCGCAGCTGATGTTTGAGACGTGGAAATGGATCCTCGTCGGCGCATCGACAGCCGAGGCAAACGAAAGCGAGCCGTGCTGGCGGGGTTGGGGACATCTCGCTCAGCTGCGTTTTCATTCTCTCCGCTGTCAACAAACATTGACGTAATGTGGAAAATGGCTACGATCGTAGCAAAAGCCCCCAAATACGTTGTAGAAGTAAATAAGTCACACTGACACAAAGTCCATGTTTTTTTTTATGTAGTTACATAACAGCCCAACAGCTCTTAGCATTCTCCACGTGTTAACATTTTTTGTAACAGAATTTGGCAACTTGAATCAGAATGTGTTTTTGTATATATAAAACAATGCTCGCCTCACCAGGCGTATAAACGCCACTGAATGTTATCATTTCAAATACTTTTTTGGGTAAATTTTGTAAACCCTAACTTTTTTTGAATCACAACTATTGATAAAGTTTCGCGAGGTTACGCTTATTTAAAACGACATTTACGGCGTATACAAATAAATCCTCTTGATAAAAGTTTCAAACATTTACCACATGTCGACCGTCTGTGTTGACATTTCGTAAACAGTTTTGCAAATGTTCCGAAAGTCCGTCCCACATCTTTGACGACATCCGTAGTTTATTCCATCCAGTCCGGCAACTTTCCCATTCTTCATACCGCAAAGGACGTCGTGATACTCCACGTACCACTCTGCCTCCGTAATCAAGTTTTCAATCAGTGCATATTACCTGCCATGGTAGTATGTATTGGCAACCTGGACACTGGCAAATACGTTCAAACAAAAGCTGAAAAATACGTGTAAATCAACATGGGGAGGTGCATGTTTGGAATGACGATGAGAGACAGGAAAGGGAGAGAATGTACAAAAGTTAGAGAGACATATTGACTGTTCAGAAAAGTCAGTGCTTGGGAAGGACACGTGCCCTCTGACCGAGACTTGATGCTGGAGTGGCAGTCAAAGGAAGGAACATGGCCGAGGGTGGACATCCACCGTGGAAACGGAGCGGCTTGAATCAGAATGGTTGGTTCATGTGCAGGATCGAAACGTATTGTCGCATCACGTGGCCGTGAGGGATGGCAAGAACTTGGGGAGGTATTCAAGCAGCAGTGGATAGATGATGACATGATGATGATGATGCGTGAACCGTGTGTTTAAATAGCGGAAGTGAAATCCCCGTTTCGTCTTGTCGTCTAGACAGCATTATTCGATCACTTTAGCATTCACCATTATGTCTGCATGGATTTCTCTTGGCAATCAATAACATCTGCCTCGCAAAAACACATTTGTCTGGAGTGTTGTCTCATCTGGTTGTGTTGGGAAAAGTACGTAATGTTGATGGTGACAGTGTGTGTTAATTAAATGTCGACATAAAAAAGCACAACCCTAACCTCTGAGTCCTTTTGAGAATTTGTCAGAGACGCAGTGTCTGCTGGGTGCAGTGGTGGTGTGTGTTTGTGCGCGTGTGCAGCCATCTATCAAGAAGAGCCATCGGCTATTCAGAAGCTTCTGGGCACCACAATTCGCCCTTTAGTGATACAGGTCTGAGAGCTAATACATTGTTGGTTCAGTGTAAAATATAATGGTAATCCTTCAAGACCTACCCAGTGAGGTCACAGTGTTTAAGCAGCCTTTCGTGCACCACAATCTGAAGATTAGTGGGGGCCAACCACTAATCCCAGCCTCGCCAGAGGCATTAACATTATCAAGAGGTGTGTTGTCTTCAAAAAGGGGGAAAAAATACCCATTGGTTCCCATTGGTTCCCATGCCAACGTATGCGTTGTTTCCACAACCTCAGCTCGGAACTCGGCTGCACTGACCCAGCAGCGTGACTGAACTTACGATCGCTTTGCCCGATAAGCGGCGGTGTCCCGGGACGTGTGAACGCAGGTGTAGATGTGGCATCAGATACACGATAAAAAAAGGTGCACTACTACTACTACAGAGGCAGGAACATGCCAAGCCTCAGACTTCGCTTATCCCTCCAGATCCGAGCTCGTCCCTGCTTTGTCTCACGATGGTTTAACCCACCACGTGGCTGGATCCAGCGAGAGGGGTGATCGTCTCTGACCCACCCACGCCCCCTTTACGAGCACAAACATTAGTCCAGTGTTTTATTTACGGTTGAAAATACATTTGATGGGTTTTTTTAATGTAATACACCCCATCCCCTTGATTCTTTCGGGAAAGTCACGTAGAAGGGAACTAATAAAAATAAAACATAAAATAATTCTCGATAATTGTTTTTTTACCCTTCTATCTGGCAACAAAACTGACACCTTTTTTTTTTTTTTACAAATTATCATATTTTTTACTGGCAAATGAGGTTCCAATGGTGTAAAATAATTCTCATAATTTTTATTATTTTATTATTTCTCTTCTACGTGACTTTACCGAAAGAACCAAGAAGATTAATCCCTGCAGTCACGAAAGCTTTAAATCGAAATAATACACCCCAATTAATAATCTTAAAATTTTAGGAGGACCTCCGCTCTCCACGGTGGACATCCTCTCAGGCATGTTCTATACTTTTGCTGCCACTCCGTCTTTAGTCTCAATCACCAGCCATCATCCCTTGTAGCCACAATGTGTCCTGCCAAAGCCCACTTGCCGTCTTAACAATCAATGTCTCTGATTTTGTGTTTTTTACCAGATCAATGTGCCCCTCTTTCTGTCTCTCGGCGTAATTGCGAGTATGCATCTAATCTGCGCGTTTTTTGCACATTTTCAAGTTGTTCCATTATCTGTCAGTGTTCGCGTTCGTTAATCGTATGTCGAACCTGGCAGTGTGCACCGAATGAACATTTAAATCTTCAAGACACATTCGGACGCTCCTATTCATCAAGGGTCAACCTTTCGCAATTAAGTTGAATTACTTATTGGCATGCTGCCCTCGACAACCGAGCGAGCTCTCCACAAAAGTGATGTTATGTTTCTTTCGATTTAAAGCTTTCGTGACTGCAGGGATTCATCTTCTTGGTTCTTTCGGTAAAGTCACTCGACAGACCTGCTCTCCACCTGAGGACGGCTGCTTGCGTTGTGGCCGAAACGTCGTGAGAATTATTTTATTGTTTTATTTTTATTATTTTATTTCCATTCTACGTGACTTTACCAAAAGAACCAAGACGATGTTATGTTTCTGTCTGGAGGTCCCTCCGCCCCGTTCCAGCTCGGCACACCGGTGGATAAACCCTGGCGGGCGGTCGCACGGAGGTGTCCTCAATTTCAGCAAATTCTCAACGCTTGCCTGCCGCCATCTGCTGACAATGGGCTACTCTTGTGGCGACAAGACGGTAGCCAACCGTCTTGGGTTTTGCCAGGATCGCCCTCTTTTTGAGGTAGCCGTTGTCCTGGGAAATCGGTGAAGTCTTCCTGCAGACGGAATAAAAGTCCTGGTTGTCGTCAGTTACGGAATAACACACCGCTGAAGACGACGCATTTAAATGTAGTGCTCCCCCCTCTTCTGGCACCGTGAGATATATTTTTTCCATCTCTTGATATGTCCAATTGTTTTTGTACCTAAAGACGTGAAAACTCTACTTGTGAAGTACATTCGTCGTGGGATCTTTTACACGTACAGATTCGTACAGATTACAAATCATCGCCACAACCATGTATAGCCTAAGACTATAATGCCCTTGTAGTTTAAAAGTGGAACTTGCAGATTCAATTCGGATCACGTCAAAAGGTGTTTTTGTATTCAGCAATTCCAAAAGCACACTTTACCCTGAACCTTCACCTTTATGCATTTGCACGATATGCAATCGGTGTACATAGGAAGACGTGGCTTTGGCCGTTCTATTGAGGCAGGTGATACATCAACAAATGTGCCCCAAGGGAGCACTGCTAATTCTGCAACGCAACCTCCGGAGCTTAAACTGCAGTTAGTTCATTGACCTGAGCATTCCCGGTTTTCTAACCTGTTACCATTCCTCACATGCCTGCATTAGGCTAAGAATAGCCATTCTCAGATATATTACAATGGTGTTGTGCAATGATTGCTTTAATAATTGTGACTCCACCTGTTTTAAAGAATTTGTATAGAATAGGAGCAAGAATAATTACCGACTCCACCATTGTCCAGCTGCCAACACGTGACCAAGCTCGTTTTGCAAAGATGAATGTGCACTTTTGGGGTTGACATTAGGTCGAACAGATTTTGGGAACTGCATTAAGTAAATATAAAACTGGGCACGAAGTGAATGGACGTGTACAAAGTTTACCAATCCCTGAAAAATGCGTACTGTTATTGTTACAATTGTAATTTTTTTTAAACAAGCACGTACGATAATCGAGGCCTTCTTACGTTACTAAAACGAAGAGACAACCGCGAAAGGAAAAACATCGGATGTTGTTTATTTCAAGTGGATGAAGAAACAAACCACTTGTCAGACATAAATCACGGTCGATGGCGTATTCTCAACAAAACTGTACCGTAGCACACAACATGAAACGGATCTTTGCAACAGACCATACAAAATAAAACTATATCTGCAACATGCAGGAGCCTTAGTGATTTAAATACTTTGAAGAAAAAAAATGCTAAAAGTACAGTGTTTGGGGAAAACCCTACAGGACTGTCAAGTTTGCAGAGTTAAAGATCGTGATTATTTTGAGGCGACATTGGTGGTAAATTTAATTTGTCTAAACTGGTGGTCTGGTTAGAGGTTGCTGGTGTACGCTTTTGGCCTGGTTTTCTATGCGAGGCGCGTTTTGCTCGGAGTTTGTGTGCATTTGCATGTCGCCCTAAAGCACGGGTTTGGAATATTTTCCTTACGGAGGGCCGACTAGGAATTTAAAAATACTTGTGATGGACAACACATGAACACACCTAGGTAAATGTTGTCAATGGAATAGGTCCTGCAGTGAGAGGTGAATGACCATGCAAAAATGTGAAACTGATGTTCACAAGTCGAAAATACAACCCTCTCGTACCCGATAAGGATTATTTATCCTGGAGAAATCCGATGAGATATGAAGCTTTTTTTTTTACAATGTCCAGTAGGGGCGGGTCAGAAAGTACCTATGCTTGCAGTGATTTATAAATAATATTTGCGGGTCAATTTTAAGTGAAAGAGCTTAAGGGGCCGTGAGCCTATTAAAATTAAGTTGTGGGTCATAACTGGCCCATGGATAGCAGGTTCCTTAACCCCTGACCTAAGGGTCTGGGCATACTGCACATGGTGTTGGTGCGTTATCATATGAGCGTGCAAAAGGGCTGAAATGCGTGTAATAAATGCAATGCATGTCACTTGACAGCCCTGAAAAATACATTTTTATATACTAATCTCAATGTTCCCAATGTATCAAAACCTGCATTAAGATGTATTACCGAACTAAATCAATAGTTTGTTTTCTATAAAACGTCGAATTCTTATACCTTGATAAAAAAAACATTTTTTTACTCAAATAAACTGTTTGAGAACTGCACTCGTTTCTAATCAGGGTTGTGGGACACTGCGCTGCGATGCACATTTCACAACGGCAAATGCAATTAGTGGTTTAAGATTTAAAACATCGGCGTATTTGTAAACAAAGCAAACGTTCGCAACACCTGGTTTTAATACAGCTCATAGCTTGCACTAGCCAGTACAACATACAGTATCAACAACTTGCTATTAAACAAGGACTAGATATTCGGATTGAAACGCAACATTCCTTATGAAGCACAAATGTGAATAACAAAATAATACATTGCGTATTACACAAAGGAAGAAAACAAATTAAGACAAAAAACATTCTGTACAACGGCGCATATGGTATAAACCAGTGGGGCTATCAACGCGGCCTTCCCAAATTTGCGACGATCAGTCCAGTTTTGAACGTATAGGACGTGCTATTTCTTGCACCGACCGTCAAGCGAGGAATGCTTAAGGGATGAGAGGTGGCTCACGGAATGTGGCTGCAGCCATGCCGATACAGAATTATTCTACCAGTGAGTTTGCTAAGGAATGACCCATCTCGAGTAGAAAGGCAGCAGTCCCCCCCCCTTTATTTCTAAGCACAAAAGGAAATACGTTAATGTTTAGTCGAACACGTATAGTATATTATAAATCTTGCTTTATATACCTTTGTTATAATTTAAAATAGTCGAGGAAACACTAAGAAAATAGTTACATAACAAATAAAGTTACAAAACTAATGCTAGGACGATTGCAACATTCCTATTATATATACTTGCTCATTTCATGAATGCTACTTACAAACACAAATCCCTTGATTGTTTCAACCTTACAAATTTGGTCTCTCGTGCTACACTCACACATAAGGCACTCTGGGTTTCAAGTAATTCCAATTTTTAGCACACACGCACATCGCCACACACAAGTGCATTGTTTGTTTGCGCTCTTAAATATCGGAATTTTTGTTACACTTTATTTCCCCACAACGCGTTCGACTCCGCACCACTCTTAACGCGTCGGTCGTGACAAACGCATGCACCTGGCCGATCAGTATGGAAAATGTGACTTTAAAACTGGAATTTGTGCACATGGCTTCACTTAAACCTGCCGTGCAAATGTGTCTTCCACCCTCTTACCGTATGCGAGTAAAAAAAAAAGGGAGATGAACAGTTTCAAGAGTCTGCGTTGCTTTCAAAACTGTTGGGTGGCCCAACGAATACAAAATGTGCACGCATCATGACAAATTAATGCGTTAATATATTTGGGACGCTGTACACTGTGGATATTTACAATACAATACCAATGGAAATTTTATATATATTTTTTCCCTTAAGCTGATACGGATGTCACCTTCGAGAAATACACAACTCCGCTTGCTAGACGACACTGAAGCTCAAACGTCCTGCTTTTAAGTTAATTCCTGCAACTGCAACTGTAATGTTTATGGTCGGGCGAACACAACGGAGCAGACGAAATACGGTACACACCGGACGTGTTAGCAATCGGGATAATGGCTTTCCACCGATGGCTAAAATAAAGTTAGTGTACTTCTTCAAATAACAATAAAATGCAGAAGGCATCTGCATTCAATAACTCATGGTTACCTTCAGCATTAGATATTATCCCACATTTATGCCAGTGCAATTGGCGAGGGATGCATACTAAATGTAACCAATGTTTGCGAGGACATAAAACCGAGCATTATGTCAAGTGGGTATCGCTTCGATGCCCACTATGTTGTAATTGCTAAGGCTTAAAATCGTCTTGTCATTTTAATTGATTAACTTTAGGACAAAATTTACACACCGATGTTTCTTCATTGTAACAAAAACAACATATGCACATGATAAACTTACATTTTGGGCCACAGTCGTACCTGTGTGTGTGTAAATATGCGTGTGTATAATACTCATTGATCAGTTGTGGGGAATTTGGGAGGAAAGTCGTTATCAATTCCCACACGAAAAGAAAATGTGTTTTCGTCTGTTGGCCTATTGCTTCCAGACTTAGAAGATTGTTCACCAGTTCTTTGCAAGCTTGACTCTGCTGATAAAACCCACAAGGTCCAAACAGGTCCTGCATTTGCTTATTCAAATTTTGCTGTATAACTTATGTCTGGGAAGCCAACAGTCCGACAGAATAAAAAAACAAAATATTTTTTTGCGTGAATTTAAATTCTGTTTCGTTCTTCATCGGATGTATTATTGCATCTATTGTGAGATCTGTGCTTTTGCCCTCGACAAAATGCATGTCAAGAGTTCATGTTCTGGGAGCCTGTGCCATAATTATTTATCCTGGATTGAATTAGCATAATTAGCGCAACTCAATAGACAAGAATATTGGAAAAAACAAAAGCTGCTCTGAGGATCATCAGCGGACATGATTACAATAATGATTTTAAATAGTTGCACGCAAACTACAGAATGTGGCGAGTGCCAGGTACTGAATAATTATTTCAAGCCAAGTAATTAAGGTCTCAAGATTTTCATTGACCTGCAATCATTCTCACCGTTAACATAAAATACAGTGCTGAAGAAGTCAACAACAATCTGGTGCACCCTTGCAATTTAAGCCATTTTAAAACAAGAGGACAACATTAAGATTATTACAGCTGTTTTAAAAGTGCAATGCAGGTAAAAACCGATGCAAACAAAAACACTTATCAATGATGCAACACCTGAATATCCACTGCTGGCATTTTGTTTTTGTTGACACAGCAAACACTAACCAACGACAAAATGTGGAGGCTTTTTCAGTGACAATACCAGCCGCTGATCACTGACCCATCATGTCCTGTACAAATTCCCCAGTGCGAACATTCCAACATGAATTCAATGAGGTTTTAAGGCAGTTTTCCCACCCTGAAAAAGAAAAACCTTCCAGTCCCTCACACAAAGACATATTACAACTGTATTAAAATAACAGTAGCTTTTACTCGTGTGATATAAGAAATGCTCAAGATCTGTCGTTGAGTAAAATTTGTTTTCTCATTTTTAAATGTATTTGTTGTTTGCGAGCTTTGCAGCAACACTTGACATAATTTATATGCACAATTCACCCGTTGCTTGAAAACACTTAATCGCTTTTGCTTTATAAACGTTGCACTATACAGTGGTTCATATGAGGGGCGTTCTGTAATAAAACTTGAACTCTCACAAAAATGTATTGTCTAGAAGGTAAGGTTCAGTTGATAGTGGATAATGTTATTTACAGCCTCGAATCTATCCGCTGCTGGATGAAGGCCTCCTCATACCATGTCAGTTATCATGATTGTTTTGGCCAAACTTCATCATGCTGATCAGTGCAGATTGGTGAAGGGATGTATCCAAGACTGGTTCGGACATCACTTGCCATTGATGTAACTGTGGGCCCCGCAAGAATCGAACTCAGGTCGCCAGGTTCATAGGGCAGTGGGATAACCACAATAAGAAAAATGAATTAACGTTGATCGTGCCCCGCCATCTGCGGGGAGGAGTTACATATAAACTATGAAAAGTGTCTTGTAAAGTGATCCAAAGAAATTAGCAGCAATTTTACATAACAACAAATATATATATATTTTAATTTATGATAGAATTTAGAATTAGGCCACGTAATGATCCGACTAAATTTGTGCTGTTAAGACCTTCCACCACTGGACAGCTCACAAGTTAGAGAACACATCTCACAAGTAAATTTCGTAATTGTATCCAATTGCGAAATATGGTTGTAAATTGCTCTTCAACCTTACTGGTGAGCTGAACCAATACAAAAATATTGCACAGAATCAATCATTGATTTATCTGGCTGTGTCGGTTGTTGGTGAAGGGTCCGATAATTATGTGGCCTAACCCAAAAATGTATTAAGAATCGTAATATTGGCTGTGAAAACCTACGTGTTAAATATACATATATATGTGTGAGGATTAAAACATTTTCTAGGATGGCCCTCATTTTACATTGCTGTTAGAACGAGGACGTGAGAGATTGCGAGACAAGACGAGACCTATTTGAAGCGCTGCCACGGTTTGAGGTCAACGGATCGGTTCTCAGGGACGTGGCGAAACCGGCAACGGTCTTCAAAGGTGCATCCAGTCGTTCGCCAGAAATAACACTCATTCCCATTGATTGGTCCACGCTTCTTGTCTCTGTCACATGGGATGCACAAGCGCACACGCACACACGCGCACACACCGTACGATAAAAAACCGCCGCTTTTATAGCCGCAATGTGAAGTTTATCTGGACGGTGTCGAGCTCGGGTTGGGCAATACACACAACCAATGGCAGATTAAAAACCGGATTCTAAAAAGGTGAGCATTGATTCATGATTAATGTAACAATTCATGATCAATGTCTTGATTAAATTCCCCCCAGTGATTCAATGAATTTCGATGATTTTGGGGTCGCAATTTTATTTGAGAATCACGCACTTTTGGCCTTGTTTTCGGAACTATTCGGATTTGTCTAATTTGCAACATCATGTAATTTAAGCTTGATGTGAAGCTTTCGTGACTGCAGGAATCCATACTCTTTGGTCATTTCAGTTAAAGTCATGTAGGTAGAAAGTGATTTGTTTTATTTTATTTCTACCTACGTGACTTTACCGAAAGAACCAAAGAGTAGGCATGTAATTTACTCATACTAAGTATAAATCGTGACGCACTTTCGTGCATTAATTATTTGCTAAATAGTTGATCTTAATATTTGAATGCATACATGTTACATGCCATAAATACATACAAATATGAACCTTATGCAGTCCAGTATCGGAATGAGCAGGCATTGAAGGGAAGTTTAATGACAGTCACTGGTGACAAGAATTTAAATCTACATTTAAATAGCGTAAAAAGGCTAGAAGTTGTTCATAAGTAGATGAAAAAAGTGCGGTGCTACTGTGGAGACAGTGATGGATCGACAACTGTGGAGGATCCAGAGAGCGGACCCCTCCTTGTGGGACAAACACTCGGAACAAAAAGATTTAAACACGGGGACAGGAGTTGGCGATGTGGACAACTCGCGGAGGGGCATTTTAGACCCCGAAACGACAGAGCAGGAGCAACCTCCATTGGTGTAGAGATTCATTAAAGTTTCTTTCGACTTTAATTAAACCTCATTTTAGCTTGTTTTTCTGTGACACGCATGAACAAACAGCAGTGCATTTTAAGCAAGGAATAAACACCATGCATACGAATGGATTCTCTAAATACATTACAACACGCGTTTGTTCTCGAAGTATTTAATTGGCTAAAAATAACCGTTAAGTTTCAAGCCATACAATGAGATGACGTCACACAATGATGCCATCTGCAGAGGCGAGGCAATCACATGATACGTGATATCATTTTAGCCTAAAACATCCATTTAATGCTGGCTTTTATTTACAGATGTTTGGCATCCTGTTTTTAAATGTGTCCGGTTTTATATAGGGAAAGTCCCGAATCGCAAGACCACTTCATGCTCAAGATTCGTTCTAATTGGATTATCCTTCATCATGACTCCCTGCTACAGATAGAAGTGTGGACAAACAGAGCTAGTGCTTTAACACTTTCAACCTTAATTGGAACACATACAAAATAATACCAAATCGTGCTTTTTGACAACATGGCACACATCTCAGGCGAGTGACATGACGATGTGGGCTCTGAGAGATACCCCGAGAGTGGAATGTTAGACGACGCCTTGCTCTCCGCCTTCGGTGTGTTGCTGGGGTGGTGGTCCGGGTATTTGATGAGAAGCTTAGTGTTGGCCACCTCACAGCCCTGCGGAAGGAAACGGACAAAGCAGATCATAGATAAAGACCGGCTTGAATAGGGGGGGGGGGGCAAGGAGAACAATTGTACAAGGGTAAGTCACTGGACAAGCTTAGTTGCAACAATGCAGTTCCCTTACATTGATTGTTCGAATTGCACTTTGGAAGCAAATATAACCCGAACTCTTGGTTTTGCGTCTCCACAGGGAGGTGTGGTTATCTGGAGTTTTGAAAGTTGAAGGGCTAAAAAAAGGCTTGGGCAGAATGGTCACACAATGTGTGTGATGGCAGACTCGAGGTGAAATACTACATTACTATTTTAAACAGTTATTTATAAATTATTACTATCTTGATTTGAAGCTTTCGTGAATGCAGGAATCCACACTCTTTGGTTCTTTCGGTAAAGTCACGTAGGTAGAAAAATAAAACATTATTTTTATTATTATTTAAAACTTTCGTGACTGCAGGGATTCATATTCTTGGTTCTTTTGGTAAAGTCACGTAGAAGGGAAATAATAAAATAATATTAATATAAAACGTCGTGAGAATTTTTATTGTTTTATATTAATATTATTTTCTTATTTCCCTTCTACGTGACTTTGCCGAAAGAATCAAGAATATTATTTTTATTGTTTTATTTTCTACCGACGTGACTTTACCGAAAGAACCAAAGAGTATAAAGTATTACTATATTACTGTAAATAGAACACTCGCAAAGTGTAACCATTGGAAATAATTGATGGCGCTGCTCTTGGGTGCGTACAAAGACCGCCTTATACAACCATATGCAGGGTTAACATCCATTCATGCTGTTATGGTGGACGAGGGGGTGATGTAGCCAGCACCATTACTGGCTGCCTTTGTCTCTGTAGTCCCAACATATATATACACCGCACCAAGTACCAGGTACTTAAGGCTAAACAGACCCGATTTAGATTTTCGGCCATGGCGAATATCTATGATGAGCGATATCTGAACCGGTACTGCCCCCATATGATCAAACAACCCCCATGACCGGACACAGCAGGGTGAGGCCTTCATCCAACAGTTGATGGACCTAGGTTAGGCCAAGGACAAATTCTGCTGCCACTTACCACCGACGCAAGCCGTGACCGACTGGACAACTGCTCCCAAATCCGAAATACATGTTCATACTTTAGTGCTTTGGTTGCACTGATAGATCAGACATGGGGTCAACTACGCATTCATAAAGAGTTGCAATCACAATGTACGTGGTTGTAATTTCAGCTCACAATGATGCCGTGATTGTAATTATAATTGATGTGCTCTAAATCAGTCACTGGGCGAAGGACTCGACGGGCGGCGGGGTTGGTTGTGGAGGCGTTGCAGGGTTATGGGCTGCCCCGACGGAGCGAACCTGCAGTGCGGACATGGCCTTGGCTGCCGCCTCGCCGTTCGTGTAGTTGACGAAGGCGCAGTAGCGCTCGTGCATGACGCGCACGCTCCGGATTGTGCCGTACCTGCCGGGGCGACGGGCGTACGACATTAAATGTTGGGAAAGGCATCGTCATCGTGACCACCGTTTAATATTTATACCATGCCTGCCGCGCACTACAATGTGAAGGGTGGTCAACAGAGACACCCCTCCCGCTGTGTGGCACCAGGTGAACGCAGCACTGGCCTGCAAAGGGGCATTCATCTGCCAGGAGAGGGTGATGTTGCTATGCGGTTTTTAACAATGATGTAGTTTAAATTTTGATTTAAAGCTTTCGTGACAGCAGGGATTCATATGCTTGGTTCTTTCGGTAAAGTCACGTAGAAGGGAAATTATACAAATATAAAACAATAACATTCTCACGACGTTTCGACTGCAACACAAGCAATCATCATCAAGTGTGAAATCCACAGCAGTTGAAACGTCGTGATAATTGTATTGTTGAATATTTTTATTATTTTATTATTTCCCTTCTACGTGACTTTACCGAAAGAACCAAGAACAATGATGTAGTTTGCGAATAATTTAGCAATTTCGTCAATTTGGATTGTGACGCCACCACACTTGGCCCCTTTTTTCCAACAATGTGACGTGAACTTTAAACGTCTTTCTTGAAGCAGGGGGTATTCATTGATACACTCGCACTGGGCTCGAACCGCGGCAATCCTACACCGCATTGGGCAGGGAGATGGCGAGGCATCCGTTTCAGCGCGCCCGCGCTTCGGAGAGCCAGAGGCTAAATGCTGCCACCACCAGAGGGTGAGACGCAAGCTGCGAGTAGCTTTATAGCCAATGCAATACAATATCATTTACATGTGCACATGAACAGCCCTTTTGTGAATCCACTGCTCGGTGAGAGCCTCGCCACACCGAGAAGGTTGCTGGGATTATTTGACCACAATGCAGTATCTGTTCAGCGCGGGTTAGCTAAGTCGGGGGGTACTGATGTGGGGACAGAGATGTAGAATACACCAATGGATTTTGCTGTACTGCCCTCTGCTGCCAACCACACGTCACTGCAGCCCTATGATAACCTGTGCGTGGTGGTCGCCCATCCAAGCACTATCTTAAGGTCAGCCCAGTTTGGCATCGGAGATCTGACGAGATCGGGTGTGTTCCAGGTGACATGATCAATGGCATGATATTACACTTCCCAACAGATGGAACTCCAATACCTGGGGCAGGTGGACAATACTTTTTAGCCGGTTAATAAGTAAGTTTTTACAGTTACCAAGACGCAAGGAATTGGACGGTTCAACCACTGGCCTTTTTACTCAACTGCTGATGTTTCGAGCAAGAGTCTTAACAATAATGGAGAGGATGGCTGGGCTTGCGTAGTGGGCAATGCCAGACTGAGTGGAGGGGAGAGGCTTGCTGAATGTCACCGAATTCGCAGCGTTTAAAGAGTTTGAATTCATCTTTTGGAATTTCAGGGTGGGGGTCACTGTTGCTATTAACACTGTGTTTCAAATGAAGTACATGCAGTGTATATTAGTGAGAATACAATGTTTTAGGTAAGACATTTTTAACCTGTGACACACGCTCATTGTGTTATGGATGACACGCAACTGTGGCAATCTAATTTAGCGGCGCAATAACAAGCAATGTAACGTTCAAACAAATCAAATCCTATTTCGTGTTTATTAAATTAGAAGCACTCACTATTATTAGAATGTACATTACAGTTTAACGGAAACCGTGTAATGATTATTAAATAAATATTGCCATTCTCCACCGGCACATCAATCATCCAGATTGTCTTCCTACGCTGAATAAAAGTGCAGCAGATGTGAATTGAAAGTAACGTAATGGAATAACATGATTCATATAAAATGTGAGGACAGTGCCTTTTGAAGAGATCCATGATGGCCTTCTCTGTGACATTGCTCGTGACGTTCCCGATCCACAGGGAGTTCGCTTCCATCCTGAAAAACAACCGCAGAGCATTCCCGCGTTGATTACATTTATTCCATCTGGAAAAAATCCCACGACATGAACCTGGTGCCCTGAGTTTTGAGTCCTGGCCACGGATCGCATATTGCGCGATCATTTTTAACCGGTCCTGGGCATTCAACCTCCACCAACCCACACTACAAGTGTGGTGAAGTATGGTAAAAAAAACTTCCATTACTGACATTGCATGGGGAGGCCTTCATCCAACAGTGCATTGACAAAGGGCTGCATATGATAACTTTTTTGTTATTTCTCATTATAAAGCCTTTGTCGGTAAATTTAGAAGCAGTGCAACCTGAAATTAATGTGTGAAAGAAAGTATAATGACAACCATATTTGACGGACATAATAATGTCATACGAGGTGTGATTCCATCAAGTTAAGCGTGTGTGTGGTAATACACACACGGAACTTGTTAATATGGATTTAGACAGTCACATGTTATGGTATTGTTGTTGTATTCTGTGCAATTGGAAACATGTCACTGATTTTTTTTCATAAGTGCTGAATTGCTGATACAGATCTATAATTGCGAGTACACCTGCCATAGGAATGTGGACTTTCCATCACTGACCCAGGACTGTAACCAGAAATAAGCACTGCCCACACCGCCACTGTGCACTAGATTGGGGAAGGCAGCTTCTACATGTCGATTAATTCGTGAATTTTTACCTGGACGTGTATCCCACGTGATTATTGTGAAAAATATCCGAATCACTCCCATTCGAGATGTCCATTGTCTCCAGGTACTCTGCACAGACAAACACAAACATCAATGCGCCATTAGGCTGAAACAATACAATAGCAACAGCAGCAGAAATACTTCTATTTTTAAATCCTTTATATTAAGTTCGCTTGCTTGCTTGCGTGCTTGCGTGCTTGCTTACGACCGTGCAAATCTTTCGGTCGTTTTTTAACCCACTTCCCGTGATCCAATCGAGCTGACATTTTGCACACAGACTCGTTGTGCGAGACAATTAATGTTCGTGAAATTTTTTTCTCCAAAATTTTACACTGTTTAGGGAAAACAAATTAAATATTTAATTACCAATTGCTTAATACTGGCAGACAATCATCTGACCCATAGGTGGCAGCCATCTCAAGCCAGAGGACTCTAGCCGCCACGCATATAAAGGATTTAGAGTGAAAAACTTTGTTTTTACGGGTTATACTTATTTCTGCCAATAACAGAACCGAACTAAAAATGGAAGTTTGCATCGCTGTTAAAAATCTTGGATTTACCAAAGAAATCGCACCTAACGTTCAGTGTCGAATTGTTATGATAATATAACAATACCCCTTTGTTTTATCCAAGAGGCCTCATGACTTAGTTTTCAAGAGGGTTACACTCAGAGACATTTGGCAAACTCCGTGACAGAGAGTTCAGCATGGGGGAGGAAACCAGAGAGCCCGGAGAAAACCCACCAAGTATATAACGATAAATAACACTCAAAAGCTCCACAAAGATAAAATTCAAGACTCCTTTTCTGGACTGCCACCTCGAGGCTCCTCACAAACCAATTATATAAAATTTTGTAATCCCAGGCAGTCCTAAATACACGTACTTGCCAGGATCAAGCCTACTTAGCTTCCAAGATAGAATTGGATTGGGAATATTCACGGTGATTTGATTGCATATGGGCACTTGTAATTACCCATTTACTAAAGCGTTAGAGTACTACTGTGGTTAGAGCGTGTACCTCACGGTTGGAAGTTTGCGAGCAAAAACCTGTGGGCCCAGCTCAGCCCTTCGTCCCTCCACGTTCAATGAAATTTAACACCACTTCATGGGACGTCAACAACGGCTCTCCTACGGATTATGTTGCCTCCTGCCCCTGAAATGTGGAATTTTCACCACTGGCTGAAGCACCATTCGTTGAGGCCAGCACTGCCCTATTCTCGATTGACCAGGGAGACCTTTCTGACTGTAATTTAAATACCGCGTCAGTGACAAAAAAATATTTGAATTTGAGCTTTGCCCGTTGTGCTTTAGTGCCAACACAGGGCAACGCTCTCTGTGTAAGTCTCCAATACGGAAACTATGAGCTGCTTCTTTACCTCGCGTCATCATCTGCCCATCAACCATCCTAACCTTATAGTCTTTGGGTCTTTCGGTAAAGTCACGTAAATAGGTTCAAAAAAAAAAATTACGCATTTTTTGTTGTTCTCTTTGAACCTATCTACGTGACTTTACCGAAAGACCCAAAGAATATGAATTCCTGCAGTCACGAAAGCTTTAAGTCAAGATTTCATCCTAACCTCATTAGAATTTAATGCCACGTCTGACTCAAACAAAACTGCCAAGTAGGAGATGTGTGTGCTGGACGGAATGTGCTCAAAGCAAATTGCATACGTTGTGAAAATGCACAGCGTCTAGAGGCACCTTGTTAATTTACACAATTCAAAAATAGTAGTTGCACCTGCGTATGTTGAACTTATTTTGCACCATACGTAGCCAACCATGCTAATCCGAGGTGCGATTACATAGTTATCAAAGCACATTGCTACCTGCTCTTGTGCTTGTTGTATTTTCAGCCATTAATGCTGCTTCAGGTCGTATCATCCCCCTCCGAAGCGACATTAAAATGCCATGTGTTTCATAGGTAAAGCTATTTTCAGTGACCATTTCCATAAAACACGTTAAAGGGATTTTATTACCCCCCTTCCCACATGCTGTTTTAAGTCAAGAAAGTCAAAGCGATTTGCTTCTCAAAGGGGCATAGAGGCGGTACTCCTATCCACCACTGGCTCAGGGCCAGAGTGGTGGATATTCTGCATTCCTATGGGGAGGCAGGGGGGGGTCTATCCATAGGAAAACTATTGTTGACATTCCAACAAAGTGATACTACTTCTTGGTTCTTTCGGTAAAGTCACATAGAAGGGAAATAATAAAACAATAATAAAACATAATAAGATAATTCTCATGACGTTTCGGCCACAACGCAAGCAGCCGTCCCTCAGGTGAAGAACAGGTCTGTCGGAAAGACAGCGTCTGAATACAGCCCTGTTCTTCACCTGAGGACGGCTGCTTGCGTTGTGGCCGAAACGTCGTGAGAATTATGTTATGTTTTATTTTTATTATTTACCTTCTACGTGACTTTACCGAAAGAACCAAGAAGATGAATCCCTGCAGTCACGAAAGCTTTAAATCGAAATTTAAAGTGATACTTATTATTTGAGCAACTCTGGAGGGATGATGGGCTCGGTCAAACCCCAACCAGGCTATGAACTTGCAGCTTTCTGATTGTAAGCCGCTCATTCTGGCACTGACCCACCTGGCTGGAAGTGACTGTAAATTTGCCCCTTAAAGCTGCACATTTCCCTCACAGGGCAGCAAACGTGCTATTGTTTGAGCTTGAGTAGAGCAAATAACATCGGGTTGTTTTGAACAATGCCATAGATCACATGTGCTACCAACTTGTGTTTACAATTTGTTTTGCCCGGTAACGATGGACGTCCCAGGATGTCGCACAACCAACTTCCTGACGCAAGGTGGCAGAGCTTTATTGAAAAACGCGAACGTGAATGAAAGCATTATATTCTACGGGACACATTTACTGCTCGGGACACACCTATCGATTGACCTCAGCGATTTATGCATTGTCACGATTCGGTCGTGATCCAATTCAAATTTTTTTTTGCTATAATATCTTTACAGTCTCAATTTTACAGCGTGTTCCATTTATCAATAACCCACCACTGATGTAAAAAAAACCTCTTCTACACAGAGCGGTAGCTCCATATCTTACAGGGGAGAATGTTATAATATTTTTTTTGCTATAATATTTTTACAGTCTCAATTTTACAGCGTGTTCCATTAATCAATAACCCACCACTGATGTAAAAAAAAACCTCTTCTAAACAGAGCGGTAGCTTTATATCTTACAGGGGAGAATGTTATAATATTTTTTAATAAGGGCTATTAGATTAGTAGGCGATATCCAGAGGCTTTGCAAATAGCTAATTTCTATAACATTTCTCGCTATTATTGTCGTGGTACGGCCCTTCCACCAGCTTTGTCACGAGCAACCAATCGCAGGGCTGCACCTTTACCTTTGCAAAAATAATAAGTAAAATGGATCACGCTCTATTGTCACGCGGTGCCGTCTTGTTGGTTCCTTGATCACAAATATATAACCACTCAAAATTTTGACTCAATCAGAAATAATTGATTATTAAGATCATGCGTGTATTGTAAGCATAAAAATTCAACTATGCCATATTAAATTATGTAAATACTTAGGATGTGTTTTACGTAGTGAAACAGATGAGCATAAAACAATCCAAACAAGCATCACAATTCACGATTTGAATCGAGAATTGGCTATTTTTTAAATCCTTTATATTAAGTTCACTTGCTTGCTTGCGCGCTTACGACCGTGCAAATCTTTCGGTTGTTTTTTAACCCACTTCCCGTGATCCAATCGAGCTGACATTTTGAACACAGACTCGTTGTGCGTGACAATTTATTTTCGTGAAAAAAAAAATTCAAAATTTTTACACTTTTTAGGAAAAAAAAAATTATATTTAATTACCAATTGCTTAATGGTGGCAGGCAATCATCTGACCCATAGGTGGCAGCCATCTCAAGCCAGAGGACGAGAGGACTCTAGCCGCCACACATATAAAGGATTTATAGTGAAAAACTTTGTTTTTACGGGTTGTCTTTTTCCGAGCGATTTTACTCTTCTTTTGGGTTTGTTGTTTTTCCTCCCTCACTTGTATAGCTGTAAATCTATTCGCATTAACGTAACATGTGCACATCATTTGCGCAATTGATGCACTGCTGCATACCTCGGTGACTTTGAATAAGCCACAATCATCTCCAATGTATTGGGTTGCATACCAGACACAGCAATAGAAAATACGACTGCCAACCACGCGTTATATTGGGCCTTTTAAAATAGGCTTTGTTATTGCACCGATTGGAAATTCTCCAAAAAAGAAATGCAAATTCACTGTCAGGAAACAAATCTACTCTGAATGAATGCGGTTGTCATTGGGTTTTCAAACCAAGATTACGGCCTTGATAGGTCCGAGTGATGATTCATCCTCATATCATATTTGCCTTATGCCGACTGCTCCACACAACAGGCAATGATCACACGTTCCTAAGGCAATGCACTGTTATCGTTAAAGACCATTATTAACCGGCTAGTATTACTGGCTGCAGTGCAGCGAAAATGGGCGGATCCTGTCCACAGCATTATTATTACTGTTTTTCAGAAGGTGAGAAACGCGATTAGTCGTAGTTGCTGGGGTTGATGATGTGGGAAAGTAGCGTAGGCTGCATTGGAGAATTGGCAAATTACAGCCGCCGTGGAGAGAGAGAGAGAGTTCGAGAGCTCGTGCTGTACTTGTGCACGCACACCCGGGCTAGCGTCCGCAAGGCCAAACGGAGGACATTCAAGGACATTGTGTTGTAAATAAAACGGAAGCAAAAAGAAAAGGAATCGATTAAACTTGCGACAAAACAAGCGAGAACCCCGTGAAGAGAGGACAAGCTGTGAGTTAGAACAAAGAATCGAGCATTAAGGGGTGGATGCATAAAAGGGGCACTTGGGTAGAAATGGACAAAGGCATCTCACACATACCAGTGCTGTTCACAAGAAAGTTGTGAGCCGCTTCAAAAGATTCCTCCTGATTCAGAGCCTTTTCAGAGTCCTCGCGTGTGAAGCCCTGGTCCTGGAACGGTGGGAGATGAGCGTGAGAAAAAAAAAAAGAGGTTCTGCTCAGACTACCAGAACTTTCCGAGTGAATATAATGTTGCACATTGAGAGAACCAGGTCAACCCACTGCCGACCAGGTGCTGAAGTAGGTCAATCCCCAAGACCTGCACGGCGTTGGAAGGCCCTCATCCAGCAGTGGATTGAAGTGCTGTACATGCACACATTTACATAGGGTACTATACAGCAAGTGTTACACCGATACGTTTTTTTAAACACACAAATCATTAAGGAAAAACTATCAATCATTTAAAACACTTTGTGCATGCTGCACGTGTACAAGCCTTTGTGTCAATCCACTGTTTCTTAATGAGAGCCTCCCCCCACCCCCCTGCCATCAGTGTGGGTTGGTGAAGGCAGGGAACACATACGTTGCAGAAAAGTACAGTACAACATGGATGTCGCTGCACTGCCTTCTTTTGACAACGTAACCCCACAGCAACAACATATTGCCACCTGCTTCCTGCACAGTGGTCACTCATGCAAGCACTATTAAGGCAAAACACAAACCTGCTGAGCTTTTGAGATCTGATGAGATCAGACGAATTCAAATGATTTTGCTCATGGGCTTATAATTATTAGAATGGAATTCATTCAGGAAATCCTCAGTCTCAAAGCTCTTATTTTAAAATAGCACACTGCATTGGGATATTTCGACAATTTCATGTAAACCCCGACAAAATCTCAAAACAATTTTTTTTTATTTCACCAGGTAAGGCCCACTGAGCTATATCACTCCTTTTCAGAAGCAACTTGGCTATCACACAAATGATAACTCAACGAAATGGCTTTTTGAAATTTATAGCAGCAAAATACTCTAAACGTACGTTTCTAAATATGGAGGGAAAACCCGGAGGACCCGGAGAAAAATCCACGTAACCACGGGGAGAACATGCAACCTCCAAATATATACAGGTATCAGGTTCGGGATAGAATGGTCGACCTCCTGTATACCAGGTGAGGTAGTTAACATCTCGCCCACACAGATGGACTCTACACCTGCTTGCTGTAGTGCTATATTGTGACCACCTCGCAATCCAGCGGTATTCTCAAATGTGAATGATTAACCAATCCTTAGCGTGCTGGATCAAAGGAGTGTACCACCACGCCCCGGCTAATGCACTCAGGACATCAAAAGCTCAGGACAGTCCTTAATCTTTCACTCTAATGATGTTGCAACGCTCAGATCATGCAACCGTTAACGTACCAATCCAAATACGATATATACATGCGCACAATAGGATGACCATAATTTGAAGAATGATGCACTCTACTTCAATAACCCCAGCCTAAAATTAGGTGAGCTTAACAACCTCCCACGTGTGTATTCAGAGCCAAAGTGTCTTTCTGTTTATCACTATTGGTGGTTGGAACCAAAGGTGTAAATGACCACTTTTTACAATGTTGGGGGCCATTCTCTCGCTCGGGTAACCACGATTGACTTCTTACAAAGCAGTGCTCATTTTATTGACTGCAGGGGGATAATGATGATGGGACGAGTTGGCCTCTGACGAAATGCGAGTTTGCTGCCACTGCAATTTAGTGGCTTAAAATACAATGTTTCGCTCCGGATGATCGCTGCAAAGTATGATCTGTGTTTTGATTTAGTGTGCTGATCTTAAAGGTGCATTGAAAAATTATAATACTCCGATTGATGCTCCTGCTGTTGTGGAGTGACTCATGCAGCCAGCTATGGCTGCAGGGTTTTGGTAGTACATGTTGTTTATGACACTTATTGTGAAAATTCCGTCAGTTCCTATGATCACTGTTTCATTGCTTTTATGGCTTTATTTTGGTGATTCGAAAAGTGTATTGGTTTAGCCATGTTTGTTTGTTGTAGTACAGAGTTAGACTGATGGCCTTAATCTAAGTTGTCTTGTGGTTGTTGTTGGTTGTTTGACTTGCATCCCACTGGGATTTTTGCACACAGCGTTGGTGTACGGTGTTTTTTTTGCAATATTTTCCTGTCTTTTCTTGGATTTTCTGTTTGCACTCAGTCACATATTCACTTTAAGATGTTTTTTGTTCATGTTTTAGTTTTTTGTTTGTTGCGATTGCACCCGATTCAAGAGCCGAATGGCTCACAGGGCTATACCTAATAAATGAACTTGAACTTGAGTCAAGCGCCCAAACAACAGTGCCAACCTGGAAGATTACAGCTGCGTAATAACTCGCAGGATGTGTGACAGCGAATCAGTGCTGGTTGTGGCAAGCGATAGTTGAAAAATGTCATTTAGCAAGAGTCGGTTAAAAACTTTGAATATTCTTTCAGAAGAATTTTCTTTGAATGTCGCATGTGCGTACACAATACATTAAACATCAGGAATATAATGATTCAGCGCCACAGTTGAAAAATTTCACAGTTAGCAAGAGTCGGTTAAAACTTTAAATATTCTGCTTTCAGAAGAATTTTCTTTGAACGTCGCATGTGCATACACAATACATTAAACATCAGGAATATAATGATTCAGCACCACAAAACGACGTTAGAATTTGTAAAAAATCTGTGGTTGCAACTTGATTCAAGAATTATTTGTCTAGTTTTTCCCGTCTATTTTGTACACTTCCACTTGCTCCCTAAACCAAAATATCACATTTACAATTTACGTTAACAGAAAGTCATTCATTCTCGTGGGTATGTTTAAATGCGTAAATCATGCGCGCAATAATAAGATTTTCATTGATTTATCGACGGATTGTTACACGTCTACTCAACATGTATATGATGAACAATCTTGATATGCAATTAAACACCAAATACTAGAGAGTATTCCCGAAAACGGATCGTCCTTCATTAAAAGAAAAATTATTAAACAGCAGTTTGAACTGCACAGTTGAATGTTGGGTTTATGTGAACGATAAAGTGTATGGCCCAAAACTGGGAAGCTTGAGTTGATCTTCAACATCACTTCATGACAGAAGCATGAACAAAATTACAGCCGAGATGTTTATGAACACCTGGAAATCTGTCAAATGTGTCACCAACACCATGGTCGACACCTGCAGGAATGGAGGGGCGAGACGTTATATATTTAACTTTGTGTGTGGGGAGCGGTGGCGAAGTGGTTAGCACACTGCGCCGAGAACCCGGCGACCCGATTTAGATTCCCGCTCACGAGGCAGAGGTCGCAAACGGGTTTTGATTCCTTACCCGTACCCGGCCGCACCAGGGTCGCAAACGGGTACCCGTACCTGGCCGGGCACGGGTACCCGTACGCTACCCGTACCATACCCGAAATGAGTGACAAACGGTTACTCACCGGTGACTCACGGTCTACCCGTACCCGTACCCGGCCGCACCAGGGTCGCAAACGGGTACCCATACCCGGCCGGGTAAGGGTAGCCGGGTGTCGGGTAGGGTACGGGTATCGGGTACCCGGTTGTGACCTCTGTCACGAGGCCAACGTCGGTGACAAATATCTGAACCAGTCCTGGATCTCCCCTAGGTCGACGCCGCCTGAATCGAATCCCTGGTGTGGTGTGTACACATCAGCATTTGGCAGATAAGTGCGGCTGGGTGAAGGGCTGGCTACCCACCCTTCATGTGCCGTGCAGGTCTTAACAGGTGCTAGCTAACAGCACTTGGCCCAACAGTCTGTTAAAGGCTATATGGGGCATCTTTGTCTTGTCTTATAATTTTACAGACCTAGCTCAAACTATTTCATGATAATTCTTTAATAATGGAGAGACCGTTACAGACAGTGTGTAAATTCAAATAAAAATATAAACAAGTGCACTGGTTAGTAATGCATATGCCAATACTCACCATCAGCCTCTCAACTTTGATTGAAAATAAAGCGTCTACAGCGTCGTCACAGTCTTTATCCAAGTCGAGGACTCTCTTGAAGGCTTCTTCAGCTTGTTTGTATTTCTAAGGGTGGAGAGCGAAACAATCGATTACTCACACATTAAAACAAACCTTAACATCGTCACCTGCCTCAGAACAGAGAAGCACTAGCCTTTAAAAGCAGGCTTTTTCACAAGGTTTAGTTTGCTCAATGTCTGCTCATGTAAATCTGTTCATGTCAAATCAAACTGTTCACCTGTCAACTGTCTTAATGTCTCAGTGTTCTTGGTGCATCCCAACATAAATTGTGAGTGACAAAAGCATGATTAATAATATATAAAATTTGGTAGCACTGCATTGGCAGTGCTGCAGAAAGCACACAGATCATAAGCCCTTACATGCACCAATACCACTGCATAAAAAAAAAGGTATATGTTAGTCAACGTTTTGGGCCATGGCCCTTCTTCACAGCACAGAGAGGTAGAGCGGCAACTTCTAATATTAAACTATTACTAACACTATTTTTTATTTTACCAAGTAAGGCCCACTAAACTATATAGCTATTTTTCATGAGTGACCTGGCCATCGCAAAGGATTGCTCACCAAAGTGGCTTATCGCATGGACATTTATAGCAGCCAAATACTCTTAACGCATTCTTCTAAACTGTGGCCGGAAAAAACAAAGGACCCAGAGAAAAATCCACGCGACCACAGGGACAACGTGCAAACTCCAAGCATGCATGCGTCAGGGTCGAGATTGAGCCCACGACCTCCTGTGTACCAGGCAAGGTGGTTAACACATAGCCACCGAGGTGCCCCACAGCACACGAGACGCCAGAGAGATAAGAGTGGCAACCTCTTGACAGCATAGAGAGGCCAGAGAGTTGCCACTCTACCTCTCAATGTGCTGTGATGGGCCATAGTCAGGAATGGAATCCTATGGGGGCTGGGTTCATAGAGCAGTGGACCAATGCTCTCGCCAACTGTCAGTTAACACATCTCTCTTCTCTGAAGAGGGATCCCCTGGCTGAAACATCGGTGTTGACATTTCCCGATGTTCAAACATTTTTTCATCAGGTGCTTATTTAATGCCGAGTTGACCTGGGGGATGCTCAATGCACGTCCAGATACGACTTGCAACTGTAAGTAATCAAATATCTCTGGCTCTGATCTAATGATGGGTGGATTGGCTAAAATGTCAGCATTCTATAGTGTCTTTCTGCTCATCAAACCTTTATAAAACTACGTTTTATGTTTAGTTTGTTGTCCTTCCCGCGCACCGACCATTAGCATGGTTGGCTACGTACGGCACCAAAGAAGTTCAACATACATACATACAAACCTGTAAATAATGGGAAAACTTAATGATAATATCAATCAATGTTTGTTAGACAGAAAGTCCTGTTTAGCCAGTTACCCAGCTAGTATGCAATTGAGATTCGTGGTGCATGAGCACGGAACAAGAACAAGGGGGTCCCGTACAGGGAAATAGGAATGTGTCATGAGGTGCAGGCAAAAATAATGCTTCAAGAATATATTTTTTTACAATAACAATGAAAACATAATAGAATAACAGTGCAGGCTGGAAAAAGGCAGAAATATGTGTAAAAAGCACACAGCCATTGGTACGCTATGCAAATAAATATGACCAACTGACAATAGCTGTATCACTTCTGCTTTCGGAAGGTCACATTTGTCTTAGGTGGTGATCGAAGATAAGATAACCAAAATGCACTTCTTCAGGAAATGCTGACGCATGTCTTTCTGTTGGGAATCCGTGTTCATGATGTGTTTTTTTTTCTTGGTTTCCCTCTACACGACACTATGCAAAAAATGATAGGTTTTACCCTTTCCGGCAAGAATACCGGTTAAAGTTGGATTTAAATCTTTCGTGACTGCAGGGATTCATCTTCTTGGTTCTTTCGGAAATAATAAAATACTAAAAATAAAACATAAAAAAATACAATTCTCACGACGGCTGCTTGCGTTGCGGTCGAAACGTCGTGAGAATTGTATTTTATTATGTTTTATTTTTATTCTTTTATTATTTCCCTTCTACGTGACTTTACCGAAAGAACCAAGAAGAAGAATACCGGTGTTAAGTTGTTCAAACAACAGACACCCATCAACAAGGCATTTTTTCTGCATTAGCCACACTTGGAAACAAAAATGCTTTGATATTGTATGCATTGTCCTTGAAACTGATTAGCTTACACCAGACAACCTCCTTCATGGCTACATCTCACGATGTTAGGCCAAAAGGCAAACAGCACAATGCAAATATCCAAGCACCATTATCTCGGGGTCAGCAGTTATATCCATACTAACTATTAAGCCTATTTTCTTACTAGGCTCGTGTTTTGGAAAAAGGCCAAAATATTTTTTGAAAATAATTAAACGTCAGCCTAATACATATTTTTCCATTGCAAGGTAGTGTTAATGATGAAGCCGGTGTTTCCTTCATTGGGTGCCTGTATACCACCGCCGCCAATGCGAACTCATTTATTTTTTAACATTAAGAATAACATTTCATAGTTTGTTTGAGAAAATAATTTGTTACTCAAGAATAACAGTGAGTAGGAACGGTAATAGTGTGAGCAATTTTTTCCCCCCGGGATAAGGCACCGATCTTCACTCGAATCTGAGTGCGTTAAATTACGCACATGCAGTAATTTTAGCTGTGACGGTCCCACCCGATGACGGAGACTTGTGTTGCCTCCGAAACGTCGTGATTTATTATTTTATTTTCATTATTACTTTTATTAACTTTATTTTATTTTTTACCTACGTGACTTTACCGAAAAAACCTAAGAGTATGAATCCTTGCAGTCACGAAAGCTTCAAATCTAGAATTACGCACAACTAGCTTTTGTCCACATTATGGAACATTTTGGAAATACATTTACCAGAAATGAAACATCACCGATACTGCATTGCCACTTGGCGTCAACACAAATCTCATTGACCGTTACACCGTTACACCGTTACAGCCGTACAGCCGAAAACCTCCACACCACCATAACATGTTTAGGATCACTGCCGTCACAGCGGAAAAGAACTTCCTTCGGACCAAAACGATAAAAGTTTAAACCCTACAAATTCAAAGACCAGTAAATATGTATCTTCAAATGGAAGCCGAACTTGTTTTCCAATTATTATTGGGTAACAGGATATTTGTTTCAGTTTCCAATGTTATCTTATCCAGTCCTACAATTTCCTTCCATTAATTTGTTGTTGTTGTAGTATTGTTGTTACAGCCTTGAAGAAGTGTGGTAATGTTTCCTGGTAAGGAATGCGGAGATTCTTTACAATAGCATGTCATGCACGGGCTTTGCGACCAACTGTTGCTGTTAAGTTGCTCATAAGTGGACAAGGGTTTAAATAATCACATGGTCCAAACATGGGAAAAGGGTTCAGCCAGCTGGAAAATTAGATTTCTGTAAAACAATTTTTTATGTAAATGCAATCGTGAAACAAGTGCATATAAATTAAGTATTTTAATTGTACATATTAAGATTTTTCTGTATCCTTGTTCTCGATGGCATTAAGTCATTGGCCAATAGTTGCAGAGCACCGCTGTTTTTGGCACAATCTGTCGGATTCGCCACGTGTTTTGGTGTGAATTTTACACTTATCTATATTTTTTCTTCCAGCAATTTCAAATGCATGTCAAAGATTTCCGAGCACCAGAATGTTTCGTCTCGATCTTTCTTTAAAAAAAATCAGCACCTTGTCTCAATGCATGTTACCTAATGTAGGCGGCTTTGAGCGAGTTTGCAAACATTTTGACTGCAAAATCCTGTTATAAATTTTTCATTTGGCACAATTCAAAACATCAAAACACAAACCTGATTTGCCATGAAGGAAAGCTTGTCAAGTACTGAATTGTGGTGCATGTCATATAAAAATACTGACCTTAGTGTGTGCTACTTGAATATTTATATAAACACACACACAAGCCTGTAGGATGCTGCATTGATGTCATGGTGAGCACACTGGACTTGCAATCTCGAGGTTGCCGGCTCGATTCTATTTCCCGGCATGGCAGCTTAAACATTGGGTACGTGTATTATATCTTCTCATCTGTGTCCACCCAGAAATATATATATATGGGTAAGCACAGTTAGTTGATTAGCTGGTTGCCTGTGGGGAGGTAAAGTGTGGGTAACTCCTACCTCTTCCAAGACATGTGGCCAGCATGGAATAGTAGGCCAAATACCTTCTGGAGGGGGCTGTCTAGAACCCCCCCCCCCCAGACGAGGTCCTTCCACCAGTGGTGGCACAAGCAAGCAATTGCATGGCTGCGACTTTACCACCTGCATATGGATGCGTTGGGTGATTTGGCAGCGACACCTTCTCACCATCCGTTGATCGCGAGGGCAAGTTCTGCTGCTCTGGCTGCGTAGATTAGCACCTCCGATTGGCTACGTACGGTGCGAAAGAAGTTCAACATTCGTGTGTATATATATGTACACGTGAGATAATGTGTGCTCTTTGCCTCAAGTCCGAGCAAGGCGCGTCCACGGCGAAAGTGTCCCTTGGCCCAGCCTGGGAAGAGCTCGAGTGCCACATCAGCATCCTTCAGGGCCTTGGGGAACTGACGCAGCATGTCATAACAGTACGAGCGGTTCCCAAACGGCCTGCACACGCCACAGCACCCGGCAGCCACATCAGCGAGATCAAAGTCCCACACAAAGAGACGACGCAGAGACAGGAACAGGCACAAACATGCACAAACACGCGCAGGACCTAAAAAAATCCTAAACATCCCCATTTAACGTTACAGTCCGGCGGTTGTCCAAATTTCCTGACCTTTCTAGCCGCATACCATAATCCTCATATGGCCAAAAGCCGCAAGACACACACGATTTTACATCAGCATTCCCTTGCGGGTCACGTGGGGTCGGTCATCTGGCCGGTCCACTCGGGATGGTTGGCGGTGAAGTTTTTCTATTTACAAAACTGGGGGGGGGGGGGGGCACATTTGGTTCGCTAACAGTGCCTGGACCACCCCTGCTATTGACCATCAGGGAACGTGTCGTTGGCGAGCACCTATTAAGGATGGCGCAATGCTCGATGGTTCGGTGTGGCCAGTACCACGCACGGCCACCCTCGTGTCTCCCCAGTGCTAATGTTTATACACTTCTCCAGGTACTCATTTAAGGCAGAGTTGACTTAGGGGAGGCTCAAAGACACGTTCAGAAATGACTTGCAACTGATGTTATCTTTGACTGAGTTTTATCTACTATGTACCAGTGACATGATGTGAAATTATGCTGCATTTATTATAACCTGCTAACTCCAGCTAGAATTCTGAAAGATGTACAGCGCGATGCATTTATAGATATCCCACTAACGTAATTAGGGAGACATTTTACTTAAAATCCTCCACACGTTTCCCACCAATCTCAATAGACGAAAATAAATATTAAAAACTCTCCCTCCGTGAGATAAGGGGCCATTCACTTTAACAATATTCAATCAGCCATTCGGAATAAAGTAAGATGATCGTGAGAAATTAGTGGGGCAATCTATAAATGGATCGCCCTGTATTCCAGCTCGCTAAATCCAGTTGCAATTTCTCTTGTATGAAGTGTAGAAATGTGCATGCAAACTCCACTTCATGGGAGTGTACTTTGACTGTAGTGCAATAAGACAAATTGCATTTTTTTAGGCGTGGATATTCCTAGCTGTCAGGACATACCCAGTAGTGTTAAGAAACCTCAACCATGCGTTAAGTTCTAATTTTCACCTGCGAATACACCTTTCTTTGTTGCCCATTGGCAACTCACCATATCCAACTACAAAAGGTAATTTGTATAAGATACTGGCAAATTGTACATTTTTGTGAGGCTCTTCAACAACCACAGTAATTTAAAAAATAAAAAAACAAACTGCATTACCCATCGTCATATGGGTAATGCAGGAATTATAATACTTTACATTAGTTCAGAAGAGAGTGCTATGTGTTGCGGAGATGTCCACTGACTTAGGATTCCCTGATGCGATGCGAAAGACGCCTCTCCTTAGCATCCGATGAAATTCCGCCATTTTATCTACGACAGGTCTACGAGCGATCGAGGGCTTAGTCCTAAAGAGACGGCCGTCACTCTTTGGACACGTCGCCCATCTTGATGCGCAAAAACTCCAGCAAATGGCGCAGCTCCAGTTGGCGGTTGACGTTCGAAGAGGACTGTGACCTTATAAGAATGACGCCACCCCCTTGATCGCCCCACGTGAGACATCGCTCGTACAAATTATTCGTGACACCACAATGGCAGCAAGATCATTTTTTTGTTAACGCTGTTGCAAGGGGGCACGAGACTGGTGCAACGGTCTTTTGCTGACCATGCGTGACGATTGATTGATCTGTGCATATAGGCCATCGTCACCATCGGCAAAGATGCATTCACTGCTGGAAGGCAGTTTCCCCGAGCTCGCGATGCAACAATCATCCAGCTGATTTCATCACATCTCCATGACACACGTATTTTAGGGCGTTCCCTCCTTTGGCCGCCACTTGGTTGTGAGTCTTGACCACAGGCTATCATGCCTTACAGCGGTTTGACCTACTTCAGCCCACTTACTTAAAATTCAACATGACGTTGTGTATGGTGACAGATCCAGCTATATCCTCTGCCTCTTGGTTGAATTGCAAGCATGCACCTCTCTACGCTGCTTTGTGCAGTTTTCAGAATTGGTTCCATTTTGACATTGTCCTCGTTTCTGATCCACGTGAAGGTCAAAAGTGGCGTTCATAAGTCATTCGACTGCCATACGAACGCGACATGGGTGAATACAATAAAATAACACACAAAATAAATTATTTACAGCACTTTGAATAATGCATATTTGTTAGACACGGTCACAAGTCGACATGGTGTTTGAGCGAAGGTACCGAAAAGCTCACCGGTAGTCGTTTGGGTCTATTGATATCGCTTTAGAGAAGCACTTCACGGCTTCGCTGTACTGTCCATTCTGCGCTCTGTCGTTCCCAAGCACTGCATGGCATAAAAGACAAGTCAAGCACACGCACAGGGGGCACAAAATCATAAGGAGGCACATTCCACGTGCTCCCAAAGGCAACTTCACCTTTAAAGACGAGTCCATATACAGCTCTTTTGTCAAACCACTGCTTGACGAGGGCGTCTCCACGCCACACAGGTGTTGAGGGTTTATTGGACCACGCTTCACCACGTCGGTCAGTGCAGGTTGGTGAAAGCGGGGAGCACAGTACAATGCAACGATGGCATCTGCTGCACTGCTGTCTGCCGACTGAAGCGCTGCAGTAGCCGACAACAGCTGCTTTATATCCGATTCACGTTGGGTCAAGTGTACAAATCACGACCTGGAAAATAATTTGTGGACTAATAATGGGAGGCTGCTACTTAAAAATATTATTTGGAAATCGTGTATAGTTTATTTGAAAAACTAATGCAGACGTAACTCCCCTTTTGTCATTTACATAGTTACACTCTAGACAGTAGGATGGAATGTGTGCTTTACACAAAAAAATGTATGTATTTACAGCACAAACTGGTTTTGAATGGCCTTAACAAAGACTTGATTAATCCACTGCCAATGTTTTCTCGTGAAAGCCCAAGTTGGATAATAAAATATTCCTTTCCAAAGGATACTTTAGTTTTTGCCAATTGACATTACCATAGGGATCTATCTATCAAGCATCTCAATTATACTACATCTCAAGATGCTGAACAATAATCGGGGCATGCACAGCATGGCGTACAACCGGGAACAGGAAGGTGTAATACATGTCAAGACAGTAAAGTCATATGTAGTAGGGTAAGAGGAATGTGTGGAGTTGAAGACTTGAAAAAAGACTCCAACAGGTTCAGGGAATTAGCAGCACGCATGGCTGGGGAAGAGGACGTGCGCCAGACGATGGGAGCAGCAGCAGAGAAGAATGAGTGACCTCTCATTGACCTGAGTTCGAGAAAGTGTCAACAATAAGCTCACCAAGTGAATTCCACACGACCAAGTGCTCCACCACGTGTTTTACAAAGTTAGACTAACAAAGGTTAGTATATATTTGATGATGGAGAAAAAAAAACTGTTTATCTCTTGGGATGCGAACGTGAAGCGATGCAATTTGAAGACCGCAGAATGGTTACTTACACAGGTATTCTCTGCTTTTTAACGAATCCGAGTCGGGGTCTTCTCCCTAAACAAAGCAAGCACAGAGGCATAAGTGTGTGCAGAGTCATACATGACCTTAGTACAGAAATAAGGATTGATATTTGGTCTAGATTTAAAGTACTCTTAGGTTTTTTCGGTAAAGTCACGTAGGTAAAAAATAATAAAATAAAATAATAATAGCTGTGCATAGGATGCACAGCTGGGTGATGACGTGGCTCCACTCGATGTCCGCCATCATACCCCAAAGTTATTTTCCAAATCTGGTCAACACACCATTGAGAGTGTTGGCTTTGGAGAAACTGCTCATTCAATAAGGTTCCTTGGTATGTTGCAGTGCAGTCGAAGACTGCACGGATCTTGGAACCTCATTTGCCAGTAAAAAATATGAGAATTGTTTTTTTTACCCTTTTATCTGGCAACAAAACTGACACTGACACCTTTTGTTGCCAGATAAAAGGGTAAAAAAACAATTATCATATTTTTTTCTGGCAAATTATGTTCCAATGGTGTAAATGCTTACCCCGAGCTCTCATACTCTGATGGTGCATTGTCTTTGAGTTGCGCGCCTTTTGGCGTCATCTGGTCCAACACCATGTGAAACTAGGCTCTAAGGAAAGCTGTCTCGGGTGTGGACCAATCAACTTCAAGGACAGTGCATATATTATCAGTTATGTTTTTTTTTGCATTATGACTGCAGGTATTGTGGTCTATGCAAACATGACTCCTTGTAAAAAAGGTGTCAGTTTTGTTGCCAGATAAAAGGGTAAAAAAAATGTATTATACACGGATCTTCTTTTTATTCGGGTGGTACACCCCATGATGAGGAATACACCACACTCTTCTGTCTTCTCGTTCCTGCTGCTTTAGGCACTTTCACAGCAAAGCCCTTTGCACTGTCTCTCATGAAGCTTTTGTGGTCCTCATGGAAATCTGGCCTCTTGCTCGGCCTTCTCTTGAGACTGCTGATGCGCCGCCTTGCAACGCAGCGGTTGTTCAGCATTTCCATATTCTCACTTCTCAATGGCAAACCAGTGGTATAGTGTTCATCGACCAGCTCAGCTGACCTTGTCACAGATTGCATGAACTGACGGTCGTCTTGTGACATCTCTGGTTTGTCCTCGTAACTGCGTCCTGAGAAGTACGTGTTGTATTGTTGGACTAACGGTTCTTCAATGTTTGAGATGGAGATACGGGTTGCTGTGAAACTTTGCCATTTTCCATTGTAGTCTCCTGTTCTCATAGGTCCGTTCACTACCCAGCCAAGAGTGGTCTTGATTGCGTAGGGTCCATCATCTTCATTATTTATCACCTTCCATGGTTCCATTGCTTCAATGCATGGGAGGTGCACTTCTCTCAGATAGGGCCATCTTTCAACATCATGCTGTAGTGGTATGTTTCCTTTCTTCACTGGAATGTCACTGTGGGTGAAGACCTTTGGCAGGTCAATATAATCGCCCTCCTCAAGTCCACTCACTTCCAGGTCTGACAGGATATAACTGTGTACCAACTTCTCCTGACCCATGGTTCGCAGAAGGATTTCAATCTTCCTGCCTCTGACATCGAGGTGTTTCCTCAGGGTTTCAGTACAAAACGTCGCTGAACTCCCTGGATCCATGAATGCGTATGTCTCCACACTCGTCGCGACTTCGTTTGGATTTGATTTTCACTGGAACAATGGCGAGAATACAATGTCCGTCTCCAGGCCCGGTGTAGCCACAAGTTTCATGCTTAAGGAACGCAATAGCACTTGAGGCTATCTTCTCTTCAGTAGTGCCATCTTCATTCCTTTTTGAGGTGACAAAGTTTTCTTTAATGACGTGCAGCATGCTTGGATGCTTCAAGTTACACCCTTGACATGTCATTCTTTTCTTACACTCCTTGCTAAGGTGCCCTTGTATAAGACATCCAAAGCAAAGACCTCTTTTCTTCAGAAACTCAATTCTGTCTTTCTGTGGCTGTTCTCTGATCTTGATGCAAGAATCCAGTGTGTGAGTCTTCTCACAGAACAAGCAGGGTTTCTGGAAGGCATTAGCAGGTTCCACACAGCATCTGAGCCAGCGGCACAGTGAAATATTTAGTGCTGCATGCTGGGTTCAAAGGTTTTCTTGTGCAAGTGTTTGGAACGGGCAGAGAATTTAGTGCAGTTGTGGAGGGAACCAAATTTTATTCAAACAAAGATGAGCATTTAAGAGTAACAGCCGAGAGGTGACCAGGTGGTTCAGAGGTCCGAGCACTGGGCCGGTAATCCATCACATTAAACATAGTTCTGCATTTAAATTTCACTAAATTCCAGATCTTGAGAATTAAAAATATCAGTTTGACCAAAATTCAACAAACACCAGTCTCTGTAGATGGGTGTGCGGGAAAGTCCTGCCCCCTGCTGCGAGGCCCAGAGGTTACTAAAAGGGATCTCAGAATTAGTTCTGCAATATCCGCTTCCACGGGCCATTCTCTAAGCTAATGGGTGCACCGATCAGCGACAGTTCAGACTGGATTCTGCCTCTCGTGACGCTGACACTGAGAGCACAAAGTGGGGTAACATTGTGAAAGACGACACAAGTGATTCGGAATGCTCCCGATGCACAGCTCTTATTCAGTTCCTAAAACTTGCCTCCATCATGGAGGCCTCGCTCCTCCTCTTCTTGTCAGCTTTGCTGGGTTTTTGTAATGCCTTCACGTGGCTCGCCGCCACAGCAAAAAAAGCGCTGTTGACGTCCCACTCCGCATCCTGCTGTGGGAACACAGGGAGACGGCAGTGGTTAAAAAGGGAATTGCAGTAAAAAAAGGATGAAAAAAATCTGAATAGGCTTGATCCTTTCTGGAAATAACACAGGTGTTCAGATGTTCAAACACCAAATAGAAACCTTTTGAAAGGAATCATGTCTGGATTAACCACATGTACTTGTGGTGAACATGCATGCTCTGATAATACGTACATTGTCTTTGAAACTCATTGGTCTACACCAGACAGACAGGTTTCTTTAGGGCCTAGTCTCACCAGTGTTAGAGCAGAAAACGGCAAAAGGCGAACGGTAACATTGGTGAGACCAGGCCCTAAAGAAGGCTGTCAGGTGTAGACCAATCAGTTTCAAAGACAATGCATATATTATATTCTTGGTTCTTTCGGTCAAGTCACGTAGAAGGGAAATAATAAAATACTAAAAATACAAAATAAATAAAAGTGGGGTTCTCCTTGAAAGTTATTGTTTTATATTTTTATTATTTTAATATTTCCCTTCTACGTGAATATGAATCCCTGCAGTCACGAAGGCTTTAAATAAAAAATGCATATACTATCAGAGCATGTTTTTGGTTGCATGTTCACCAAATGATGTGTGGTTAATACAGACATGATTCTTTGAAAATGGTTTCTATGTTATTGCCAGAAAGGGTACAATATATTCAGATTTTTTCATACCCACCGAGCTAGTAGCTCTTTTTCAGACGCGACCTGCCCACAAATGATAGCTCAACAAAAAAGTGGCATATGTGGAAATTTATAGCAGCCAAGGCGATTAATTACGAACAATATTTATCACACTTCCTCGCCAACTCTTGCAGTTTTAGTCATTTTAGTAGCACACAGCTGTTTGGAAATTATAAAACAAATCTGAGTTTACTTTTTTGTAACAGCATTGTTTGTGTCTAACTTGTACGTGTTCCTTGTTTTTATCACACATGGCTGAACATGTTTCAATTTCACTACCCCTTTCATCAAGTCTTTTAAAAAACACGACAGAGCAGCTTTAATGTCCTGATTAAAAGTGGACAATGATTTACTACCTAACATCTGATGCAACGAAAATAGTGCGTTACGTTTTTGTTGCATGACAACTGCTTGCCTAGGGTGCTGTATGTTTACGTTAAAAAAATAAAAAAAAAAAGCTCTCCACTTAAAGAAGTCCTTACCAAAAAGCAGAGAAACCGAACCCCACGGGGAAGGGCTCTGGAATCTAATAAACAAGCTGTCACAAGTAAAATGGAGAATGCTTCTCAATTTCCCTCTTACTCAACATTCTTTAGCAGTGAAGAGGATTACAAGGATATTCATGGTAATGATTTTTTTTAGTTTCTCCCACAGTGTTACTCAAATTTATGTTTGCAGGTGTATGACGATAAGTATCCTTATGTAGGAAGGAATGTTACTGGTCTGCCCGCCAGGCAGTAAAGGTCAGTCACAACCCTTTCTTCAGTGATGTTTGTCATATCGTCGAGTGATATAAAATATTATACAATTTGCATTAATAGGGCATCCAAATCCTTAAATATTTAGCAAAGTCCCTGTATATCCTTATTTCGTCTGTATTGCTATTTTTTTTGTCTACACTTTACAACCATAAGTTTTATAACAAACAGAAACGGTTGTCCTCCAGTTATCATGTGAACATTAACATTTCTCATGCAAGGTTTTCACAATTTGTGATTTACACTTAAGAAATATAAGAATACCCTTTTATTCCAGTTTTAATAGCAAACAATGGGAAAAGGGTGCTATGAGACAATCCACACCGTCGTGGCATGTGGGCAGCGATCAGTGCTGGTTGCGGTGAACACAAAGCCAGCGTGTGACACGCTCAGACACAAGCATGTGACTAATAATGACTCCAAATAATAATAATTCTCCAACCAATTAATTTATTTTTAAAAATGTGGCTTGTTGATAATGGAAAATGTACAATTTTAAAACGACACAATTTATCAAAACCACGCGGGAGTAGCGGGAAAAAAACGTCCCAGGTTGTCCCGTGTGACTCCCTTGTTCAGAACGGAGAGGGCTGTACAGTCTACACACAGTATCTATTGCAATAATTTGACCTGCCTCAGAACATTAACAATGGCCACACATGAGAACTGCTTTCTTTCAAATCATAACACAGAACGAAAATCCTAAATCTCAAGAGGATTAGTTAAAAATGCTTGCGTGCCATGAACTACCAGACATCGCAAAGTCTCTTGTCATATCTTGATGACAAGTAAACATTGTTCTTGAACAAATCCTTCCATGTTTAGGTTAGACCACGGGTCGGAAAACCAACATAACAAGAAAAGCCATTTTTTTAGAATTCGGTAAAGAAACACATTTTTTAAGAGCCGCAATGCTTGTGAATTACGTCACAAAGCACTGCTTAAAGACCCCTGGGCTAAACAGTGTCTCACCTCTCCCAGCTCCACTGTGCTTTTTCCTCTTGACTTTTTGGTTTTTGATTTCCTGTCGGCCGAGTGTCTCCGTCTGCTGCAGTCGTCTCCATTTGTCTGTACGCCAAAATTTGGGTCACAGTTCCTGTTCAGACCGTTAAGATCCTCCAAGTGTCTTTCCACCTCCTCTTCCTCCTCCTCTTCATCTTCCTCTGCATCCTCCCCCTCCTCCCCTTCATCGTCATCCGAAGACGAATCCTGTAAGAATGACACGTGATGGAGGCAGTGTGCTTAGCATCCATTGCATTCGAAGTGATCCAACACCCCCTGCACCTGACTTGCGTAGCACAGTCATGACAATTTCTTCAGGAATGTTTGTCGTATACAGACGAGAAAGGGTTCATTTTGATACGAACGCGGGACAATCATTATTTATTCTACTGTAAAAACACTTTGCCATAGGCATTGTTCGTGTTTAGTTGGTTGTCCTTTACCCGCACCTCTGATTAATTATCAAGGTTGGCTACGTACGGTACGAAAGAACACACACACAGACCAAGCAAAGGAAAGTCAACAACATCAATCAGAGAGGGAAGAGAGTTCCAGAATATAGGGGGCAGCAGAGGAGAATGAGCCACCTTTGACCTAAAAATGTTGTTATCTCGGTCAAAAAAAAAACCCTTTAGTGAATGAAATTGTTCACTATCCTAACAGCAATGAGTGGTGGCTCTATATTTAAGTTGTAAATAAAGGCAAAATGTGGTACTGTACCCAATGTAAAGAGTGACCGCATGTTGGTGGCTAAAGCCTAATAAGTCTTAAGGCCTTTATGCTATTAAAGAAAAAAAATTACAATGACTTTTGAAGGATGGGACATACAAGCTCAGTACACATTGTATTTTGTTTTGTTGATTGTGTATGTCTATATGGAGCAAAGATGTATTTTTAAGTGGGCAAATAGAGTGCAATGTCTCAACGGGCAGGCCTCTTTCAAAAAGCATTGGACAGTCCACAGCATGGGAGACATGGGCAGGTTACCGCGCCGTAAAGACTCTTCGGCACAATGCAATCGCCTGTGCATTGCCACGGCGTGCCCAGAGAGCTGTGCGGTTGAGAAGAGTGCAGCGAAAGAGTGGGGTTCTCCTTGAAAGTTGTGAGAATACACAACGGCGCTCATTTACAGGAATACAAATCCAACATGTTCAACGTCCACACGTATCTCCGTGCACGTAGATCCGTTGATGTTCACATGCATATCCAATACGATCCCAATTCACATGCTGAATAATGTTCCTTTCCGTCTGCTTTTTCGTGAAAACGTCGCGACGTTCCCCCATCGCTGTCAACGGGCAAAATGCCAACGTAATTACTCTTTGGTTCTTTCGGTAAAGTCACGTAGAAAGAAAATAAATTACGTAATAGAATACGACGTTTCGATTGCAACATAAGCAGTCGTCATCAGGTAGAACTAAATTTGTTAGAGAGACAAAACACAGACATGGAGACACACAGACACGGAGACACACAGACAGACACAAGCAGAGAGAGACAACACAGAGACACAGAGAGAGAGAGAGATGTAACATAGACACACAGAGACCCAATGCCTCTGTGTCGTGGCTTTAAATAGAGAGAGAGGGGGTGGGGCAGAGAGAGAGGTGGGTCTGCTGGATCAGAGAAATTAGCATGTCAATGAGAGAGCGGTGTGGAAATCCACCCTGCGGCGGCAGGGGGAGAGAAAGACCCAGCAAGTCTGTAAAATTTCAAGATTAACTTCTAATTTAGCAATCTCTCAAGAACATAATCAACCAGGCTATGCGTTAACCGTGTGTTAGCCGACTATCGGCGTTGCATAGCATGACATTTCCAAAAATTAGCTAAGTTTGTTTTCTCAAACTGCCTATTTCTCTCGCTAAAATTTACCAGGCTCTCTCATAGAGGTCCATTCGCTTTTTCTTTCCCCCGGCCACTTCGGGGTGGATTTCCACACAACTCTCTCTAAAATTTACCAGACTTGTTGGGTCTTTCTCTCCCCCTGCCGCCGTGGTGTGGATTTCCACACAGCTCTCTCATTGACATGCTAATTTTTCTGCTCCAGCAGACCCACCTCTCTCTCTGCCCCCCCCCCCTCTCTCTCTATTTAAGGCCACGACACAGAGGCATTGTGTCTGTGTGTGTGTCTCTCTCTGCTTGTGTGTCTGTCTGTGTGTCTCCGTGTCTGTGTTTTGTCTCTCTCTCAAATTTAGTTCTACCTGATGACGACTGCTCGTGTTGCAATCGAAACGTCGTATTCTATTATGTAATTTATTTTCTTTCTACGTGACTTTACCGAAAGAACCAAAGAGTAATTCCTGCAGTCACGAAAGCTTCAAATCAAGTTTGCCAACGTAATGTTTCAAGAGTTTCATCAAAAAGCAAATCTGGCCGTGCTATTAAGTGCACACACTTATTAAACCTGTCACTATGACCGGATGCACGCTTGCAGATCCTTATCCACTCCCCTGGCAACACATTGTTTCCCCCACAAATTCTTGCACTCCCAGCTGTCCTGTCATTATAGAGATGCTATGTGTAGTGTTTAACATTGAAAATAAATAAATCGTGCCCTCGATGACAGCAGACCTATTGAGAACGGCTATGGAATTCTCTGGGCAGGCCACAGCAAGCATGTGTGACCATCTGTTCGCATGCACATAAGGCACATTATTAAACATGCATATTTGCACGGGAGTGATCGGTATTAGAGATTAGAAGATTTAATCCAAGCGGTAGCAGGCACATGTCATTGCTGGGCTTGCAAGGACATTTATTTCTCAATACTTTGATGAACATGCGCTCGAATTTCCCTGCCCGCTCATGCATAGACACTCACTTGACACGAGGGGTAAATGTTGCACACAAGGACAAAGATCCCCCATGTAGCCTTCAACAGACTTTGGGGGCAAAAGTGCTGTAAGCAAGCACATAAGGCTGGCACGGCACACGAGGTGCCGAGCCGACTGAGAGGTCACCACTTAGGTTGGCCACGAGACGGGAATCGAACTTGGGTTGCCGGGTTCATAGCGCATGGCACCGACGACACAAACGTGTGTCTAACTTTGCATTTCACAAGTCGTCCAAACACAAGCAGTGTAAACTGGGATCTGAACTTGGCAGCCCGATTTTACTGTCGCTACCCACGTTCAAAACAGACACACACTCCAAACAGAAGCCTTGAGAAACCTGTTAAACCCACTCACATTCTGGAATTCACAAGTCATCTAACTACACAAAAACGTGTGCAGTGGACTAGAAAATGACTAACATTGCATTGTAACATAGCCAAATAGATCCAGTAAAGTAATATTATTAGTGTATTTTTTTTTCTACGTGACTTTACCGAAAGAACCAAGAAGATGGATCCCTGCAGTCACGAAAGCTTTAAATCGAAAAATATTAGTGTATTATTTACCGATTGCTTAGTTACTTTGACGTTAATCGTTAACCAGTGAACATTAACCAGTGAAGTTAACCAGTAAACATAAGAAGAGCTGAAGACCATACAAATAAATGATCGACTAATTTTCATTGGCAATAACTACGTGAGATAATGGCAATAATTTAATTACATTTGAAAAACTCCACCAAGGTATTGCATTTCTTACACAATCCTTCGTACGAATGAAACATTCACAGCTGGAACAAGAAGTACTCATTTGGATGATGTGTTATTCAATCAGATCATCCATAATTATCTTTAAATGTAGCGAATAGGCAACATTACGCTTGCAGATGATTGACATGGCTACGTGCAAATTAAATTTACAAATTCCTAAATTTGAGTACTCATTCTTTTTACAAGGTAAAGTTTTTCAAAGTAGAAAAATTCATAGCATTATTACAGGCTTCATTGAACTTGCATATACCATTGAATTTGATATACATCCTTGTCTGTTTACATACTTGCATGTATGTTGAACTTTTTTCGCACCGTACGTAGCCAACCGTGGTAATCGGAGGTACTTGTACAATAATATAATCAGACTACATCTATTTTGATGTTTCTGTGACAATTTAATGTTGAATGGTTTTTTTAAAGTAATAATAATTTTCACTAATTAGGCGCCTTTCACAATGTATATAGACGTAGTGCATGCAAACCATGAAGATAATACAGAAATAACTGGTTTGTAAAGTATGGGCAATTGGAAGTAAAACAAAAAGATGCATTTAATTTGTACGAGCCAAATTTTGTTTGAGGAAATTATTTATTTTTAAATGTAATATTGATTTATACTGGTGCACGATTTTCTATTTCTTTCGGACATCAATTGTTTTGGACTAATTTCTATTTGGCTATTTTTCCTCCAATGTATATTTTACTTAATTGTTGAACTTGTTTTTACACGATTGCTTTCTATAACCCAGGTCACTCTCGCAAATCAGGCTAGCTTTGTCTCAGGTTCTCATCTGATTAAACAAAAATAGACTTGAAAAGCAACGAAAGGCATTCGGATAAAAATCGCTTTAGTCTTTTGTAAAATCATCTACCGATTTCCAGGAGCCTGGCATACAGTGCTCGCGCACACATGTGCAGCACATCTCTCCAAAGCCCCTGTGCTCTGTGCACATGAGTTATTTAACACATTGGCTGGATTAATGGAGGGATCCTGAAGGCCTGGCTATAAAATGTGTTCACAGAAGTCTGTTGTTGTATGCATATAAACATATCTGTGTGTGCACTGTAAACGTGTGTATTTACTAGAAGCAAGAGGCCAATTATTATAATTGTGATTGTAATTCTGCAGTCTCAATTAATTCAAATTTCGTTCATGCTAATACTCATTATCACGGTAACTGTCATTTTGTTTACGCACTGCACTCGGATAATGGCGACCTCAGTTGAATTCCTGGCCACGGCTAACATCAGTTGTGAGTGGTATCCGAACCGATCCTGGGCTCATCTCAACAAACCCACACTGCCCAGCGCAGGGGTCGGCAACCGAAAAAACAGGTAATTTTTTTTCGAATTTGGCAAAAAAAAAAATTACGTGAACATGACACGGCGGTCCTTAATAAATAACATCACGAAGCAGTCCTTCATGAGCTGCATGCGGCTCCGGAGCCGCAGGTTGCTGACTCCTTGCCCATGGTGAACTGGATTTCCATGGTAAACTGGACTTCCATGGTGAACTGGACTCCCATGGTAAACTGGACTCCCATGGTAAACTGGACTCCCATGGTAAACTGGATTTCCATGGTGAACTGGACTTCCAAAATACCAACAAGAGCAATTTTTTTTCGAATTTGGTTTAAAATATATATATATTTCTGAGAGCCACAAGTTTCCAGCCCCTGGACCAGCGTCACTAAGTATGGTTCAACAATCACATCCAGCAGGGGACTGACAAAAGGGGTGTACGTTATTTCTTATCTTATTATACTTTATTGCAATATAATCATCATTATCATCAGCCTTGAGAAATCAACCACTACATGAAAACCTCTCCAAGTGATTGCCAACTCTAACGATCCTCTGATGCAACCATCCACTTAGCACTTGCACACAAGCTGATTTAATAACTCTCCATTCCCTCTCTGGATATTCTCTCAGATGAGTTTCATTTCTCGGCTGCCATTCCATCATTATTCTTCACCACAGGACATCATCCCTGCCCAAGCTCACTTATTTTTACGAACAGTTTGATTTGTTTTTTAATTTGCATATGTTCTCTAATCCATGTGTTTATCTTTCTGTCCCTCCATGTAATTCCAATCATGTTGCAAGGCAGTATATTGTAATTTAAAAAGAACATAAGCTGCAATTTATGACTTCACAACTATTGCATACCGAAACTTTGATAACAAATTACATAACTAAGTTTATTTATTTGTACAGATTGATAGTATCTCCGGATCTCTACGTGCACACACACAGATCTATTGTCTCTGTCGTATTCATAAGACATTCCCACATTTTATGGGAGGACAAGTCTGTTTTGTTTTTCACATTCACGAAAATAAACTTTTCAGCTTCTGCATATTCCCAATGCGCCTTACACCAACCCAGAATGTGCCCAATTTCGTCAGAGCTCAGAAGCTCAGCTCGGTAGAGCTTGGATAGTGCTTGGATGGGCAAGAGCTATGTACAGCGGATTTTGCCTGGCAGTGAGCAGTGAAGCAAACTCCATTGTTGTAGTTTAACACGTAGGCTTTCGCGACCAATATTATTCATAATCAACGTTTTTGGGTTTAAATCGCGTTATTTAGAAATGTGTCGTAACCCTCAACCACCCGACACGGCCAATCAGTAAAAAAGTGTCACGTTGACAAAAGACAAATAGTTCACAGCTTTAGCCCACCGGTGTGTTGAAGCGTGAAACCACAACATTTACAATTTTTGAGTACGACGTTTCGCTGGTAATTGCATCCAGCATTCTGGCGAATTGCCCGATGATGCTGGATGCAATAACAAGCGAAACGTCGTACTCAAAAATTGTAAATATTGTGGTTTCACGCTTCAACCCCCCCGGTGGGCTAAAGCAGTGAACTATTTGTCTTTTGTCAACGTGACACTTTTTTACTGATTGGCCGTGTCGGGTGGTGGAGGGTTACGACACATTTATAAATAACGCGATCTAAACCCAAAAACGTTGATTATGAATCCATTGTTGTAATGTCCTATACGCACCAAGTCAATGTCAGCCATGGCCCGGGAAGCAAACTCAAAGACTTGATAGTTTCGCAGTGCACTGCACCACCACAATCTTGGGTATGATATTTAAAGTAATTTCAGCACCAAAAATAACCTTCTTTGGAAAGGGTAAAATATCTTCCTGTAACAACCAATGCCTTTGTAATGTGTTCCATTATCCAGGAGTTACCTATCCAACGGGGGATTGGGCAATCCGTGTGAGAATCAGCTGACCACGTTTATTGCAACACGAGATAAAAGCCTTGGTGGCCACGGGGCACATGAGCTCATCCATAGAATGCGAGTAATGTGCTAAAAAAATAAACAATTTTGCTCGAGAAATAAAATCTTGGCAAGACCAAGGCAGGTGGATTTATTAATTATTTTCAATATACTCTGCTACGGAAAGCATTACTTATCGCCTTTTCACAACACAGATTTACACTGTGGTTGGAGCATATGGAAACCTAGATAATACTGTCTTGTAAGTGTACAGTCTTTACCGAGTTCTCGGGAATGCAAAAACAAAGTTCGCCAATGGCATGTTTCCTGCAGGCAAAAAAAAAATACAAACGAAAATACTTCCACAAGCTCGACCGAGCAACTGTAAGTCTACATTCCAGCAGCAATTTTACACAACGGACAATATTGCCAACCATGCGTTCATGCAATACAACATGAGCAATGTGTAATTACATAAGAGATGGTGTGGCAATGATTACTTGTCTCCTATACTCGATTTGTTTTGATGAAAAAAAACTAGCTTCATTTCATGAAATGTTGAACTGGGTTGTTCTAAAAACACAGAATTTATATTTTAGTCTACAACAACATTACACATTGATTGAATAATAATTTTTTTTACGTTTCATAATATATTAATGCACAGCTAAAGCAAGCGGCCCGCCACACCGTCAGTCACGGGGGTTCTTTGACCAGAGTTCATAACACGGTTTGGTATGTGGAGTGGCGGTGGGGGGGGGGGGTACATTCATCTCCCTCGCAGATAGGGTACAAGTACAAGCATACACTTCAAGTTTCTTTCGCGACTTCCTTCACGCAGCGCGAGAGAACCGCTCCGTCAGTGCAAACAGACGAAGGAATTTCACATCGTGTTCTCGTTCGGAAAGGAGGGGGGGGGAATGTCAAGGGCAGTGTGTAGATGCCCCCCTCACACAGGTGAACTGCTTGAAAACGTCATGATCCCGCTTCATCTTCGCCGTACACATTGACCGCGTGCTTGGGCTCGTTGCACAATGATGTGTTGTCAAACCCTGCGTCGACATATTTTGTACAGTTTATTCATTTGGTCTGCATAAAAAAAAGCGTCGCTCACATTTTTCCCCGATTGTGTAAACACACAATTTAGCAATTAGGCAATATCCACGATACATTTACGTGTTTGTAGTCGTCACTTTGGCAACAACGAGGAACTTTCTAATTTTAAACAATGCTAATTAAATAGCCAAAATGTACTCCTTGCTAAAATCAGAAATGCACGGTGCTCAACTCTTAGTTTGCAGCCCCGACATCGAGTGTTAGAAGTTCCACACTCCTATAGTGGGCACCAGTCTCTCATCAGGGGATGCACCACTGACGACAGTGTTCAGGGGTAGGCGTCATTGGCAGTCGTCTGGAGTGAAATATTTCGAGGGGGGTGCAAAATAATGGGAATTCAGAGTTCCCACCACCCATCACGACACGTCCTGTATTCATCTTCTTGGTTCTTTCGGTAAAGTCACGTAGAAGGGAAATAATAAAATAATAAAAATAAAACATAATAAAATAATTCTCACGACGTTTCGGCCACAACGCAAGCAGCCGTCCTTCAGGTGAAAACCAGGTCTGTCGGGGAGACAGCTGTCTCCCCGACAGACCTGGTGACTTTACCGAAAAAACCAAGAAGATGAATCCCTGCAGTCATGAAAGCTTTAAATCGAAATTTATACGTCCTGTATTCTTCTTTGTATTAGTGATGTTGCTGTATTTTGTTTTTGTTGTCACTGTGCTCAAGCACCATGGATCTACCTTGAAAAATAGCCGGAAAACTGGCTAAACGAGATCATCCGTGGGACAAATAAAATAATTTCAAACTCGGGAGGCCCAGGGCCCCAGCCACCTCGACAGACGCGAGTATTATTAACCGAGCATCACCCGTCCTTCGTTGACATGCCACTCAGGATCAGAATAGTTATCTATCCTGGAGAAATACAATGAGCTATGAAGCTCTTCTTCACAGATGTCCAGCGGGGGCAGGTCATAAAGATACAATATCAAACAATACACTGCAAAGTATAGGAACGGTAAGCAAATCACGAAATATAAATATGTAAAATAAAGTAAAAAGTTCAAATTGCATAATTACACCAATTCTCGGGCAAGGCAGCAAGACCACACAGAGACAATGCACAGTCCCTCAATAAAATTAAACAACAAAATGTAACTATCGATACATGGGCAAGGATGAAAGTTAGACCTCGGTGGGACAATAGTGCAGAGGTAACTCAAAATAATTTGAGGATTCATTTGCGTGCGGCAGACAAGGATTTACGCTCACCTGAATTCCCAATGTCAACAGCGTTCCCGCGAGCCCACTCTCGGTCTGCTCGATTCTCCTACGCTCCTTCTGCCGCTGCAAATAACACAACAACAAGCAGCAGCAAGGTCAACGGAGCAAGAGAGGAATGCAGAAAAGGTGGTTCTATTACTAGCCATGGTAAATAATGACTCCAGGAGGGATAAAGCAAGCAGGCAACCCAGGAGGTATTATGGAAATATTTGGTTACTAGCCTTTTGCCCGTCCAAGGACGACGGGTGTATTTCAGTAAATCTGAAACTTGCGAGCGGAAAGCAGACCGCGACGTGATATAATCATTGCATCCATTCGTGTGCAATTTGTAAGGGCGCGGTGACACAGACCTATTTAATTTAAAGGTGTTAATCCCTTGTTCATCATGTCGTCCTTTTTACTTTTATGTCTCAACAGCGTTACAGAGATCCCGTGACGTGAGGGTTCTGCCTTCGTAGTGAGGGTTGTAAGTTGACGCTGAGGAGGGGAGAGGAGGTGCCTCGCCCCCCCCCCATGTGGAGTGACGTCACCCGCTAATGATTATTAATGGTCGGGGGGGGGGGGGTGTCCATTTGGTGGACATCACCTGTTCATGATTATTAATGAGGGGGGCTGGTCGACGTGGAGTGATGTCACGCGCGGGACACACAGACATTCTTGGCTCATAATAGTCGTTAATAGTCGTCACTGTTAAATTTCGATTGAAAGGTTTAAAAAAAATAATTCTCACGACGTTTTGGCCACAACGCAAGTAGCCGTCCTCAGGTGAAGACCAGGTCTGTCGGGGAGACGCTGTCTCCCCGACGTCGTGAGAATTATTTTATTATGTTTAATTTTTATTATTTTATTACTTCCCTTCTACGTGACTTTACCGAAAGAACCAAGAAGAGGAGTCGTCACTGTTGTTGATGGCTTCATCAAACATTTAATATTTAGTTTAATACTTGATTCGGATTCCTAATTATTCCATATGTAAGTTGCAATTCGCCCGAGTTTCACATAATTAGCAATTTCACATCTTGTTTAATTTCTGTTGTTCAAAATTGCGTGTTATGGATGCTTTGTTTTTACCTGGATATTTTAAAAATTAAACCTTTGCTTCAACCCAGCATGCCGTTGCAAGTACATCCAAGTTTCATTGTGTCCTGATGGGTTGTTTTCTAATTCTTTATGAAATAAACATCCACTACTGTTTACAGTCTTATAATTGAACTTATACACCCATTAAATTTCTGCTGACAGCACTTTACCCTCCCACCCATTGCCTATCGACACTTTCTAATAAGTGAGAGACTGAATTAATTATAACATACAAGCGGGAAGTACTCGGTGTTGCCTCGGCAAAAAATATATTTAAAAACTTCTCTTAAAAACCTGACATATACATTCACAGATACTAAGCTACTTTGAAAGCCCAGTGGACCGTTTGTCCATTTCTCCACCAACAAAATTATAAGAGGCTTGCACAAGTCCAAAAAGGAATAGAAAGTGGGGGGTAAATAGTTGATCTAAAAAGTTTCCGAAAATTATCCACTCCCCCCCCCTCAAAAATATATATTTACACCCTACATATAACAAGTAGTTTCTATTGACTCTGTAGTTATATCTACTGACTGTACAGTAGTATTTACTGACTGTCGTAACTACTGACTGTAGTAGTATCTACTGGCCCTACAGTAGTATCTACCGACTCTATAGCAGTAGCTACTGACCATAGTAGTATCTACTGACTCTATAGTAGTATCTACTGACTGTAGCAGTATTTACTGAGCGTAGTGGTATATACTGTTTTAGTATCTACTAACTCTATAGTAGTGTAATGTTCTTGTATGGAGACGGAGTCGTCGTAGAGGCAACACGGTTTATTTATAATATAACAAGGTACACTTAATCCCGAACACAAAGGGGTAGTGGCCCCTTTCACCCACAACCTGCGGAGGTACAGCCTCCGGGCTATCGTACCTAGTCACTTTAGCTACACTGACCTCTCTAGCCCTCCGACTGGCTAGACCTAGGGGAGGCTGACCCACCGCTGGCCCGGTGGGTCCCTGACCACTGGCCTGTCCAGACCTGGCGCTCAGAAGGACATCAGGCCGAGGGAACCTCTGGGTCCTAACCTCTCGACCACTGGCACCGCACTGAGCCCCGGCCCTTAAAAGGACGTCGGTGGCTTGGGGTCCAGGGTCTTCTCTCCAGGCGGGCTTCTGGATTCGGCTTGAGGCGAACTGCCCAGCGCTCTCAAGAGCCCGCTTTATATACTGTTTCCCCCTGAGGGGCGGGGGGTTCTGTGAGATCGCAGACACTGCCCACAGCCCCTCCCCCCGGCGGGTCCCGGCCAGGAGTACACAACCGCCCCATACCGGCAAGCACCCTGGTTTTGGCGCGCGTGTGTGTCAACATGACCACCAGAGTAGTATATACCAACTCGATAGCAGTATCTACTATCGCAACAGCAGTGCATACCGACTGTGGTGGTACCTGCTATTACCACAGCAGCGCATACCGACTGTGGTGGTACTCGCTATCACTACAACAGTGCATACTGACTGTGGTGGTACCTGCTATTACTACAACAGTGCATACTGACTGTGGTGGTACCTGCTATCACTACAGTAGTACATGCTAACTCTATAGCAGTATATATCGACTCGATAGCACAAACTATGAACCTGACAGAGTGCTGTTGTGAGGCCTAGTCCCGTGCCGAGCCCCCGTCCTCGCCTAGATTGCCCAGCCGGCCGAGGTGGCACCTTGGCAGGCTGGGAGTTCGGCCGTTCCCCTCCCCCACCATTCCCCCACCCGCTCTACAATAATAGTATCTAAACGCTATATTAGTATCTACCGACCCTATAGAAGTGCACACATTGGGGTGGGGGGGGGACATGACACTTTGAAGAATTTATCTCAGCGTTGTCTTTATTTTGTTTTGCATTTTTAATGTAAATGAGAATTCCCCCCGCCTCCACCGATGGCGCATGTGCGTTGCTAGGGGTAACCCCCGGTCAGCTTTGACGTTCGCAGAGCGGTGCAAGGAAATAAATAATAAATGACCCTCAATTGTTAATTTAATTACTTTAAAGTTGACGGATGGGAAAATGGAATAGCGCTGGCTCACCACGGGGCTTATGGTGTGGTACCTGATGATATAATGCACAACAGACTTGTTTTAGATGACCAACTCAAGGATCAAAATGAGATATGATGCAAGAACTCAAGGCAATGGTGGAAGGTGGTGGTATATAATGACGTTAACAGTCCAAGGTGATGTTTATTCAGAGGCTGAACATAGATATAAGCCTCGATTTCACAATGACCCAGACTGTACATTTATCTGCAGCTGTCAACTTATTGCTAGGTGAAGGCCTCCCCATGTCGTGTTAATCATGGGGCTTTTTTTAACCATACTTCACCACGCTGCTTAGTGCAATTTGGTGATGTGGGAGCCCAGGGTAAGTTCGGCTATCACTCGCCACTGATGCAAGTCGTGGCCGGAAATCAAACTCAGGTCCAGTGGTAGTGCTAGCCAATAGGGGGTCCCTTGAAAAGAAAATAATTTGGGGGCCCTTTTCAATTCATACAATCAATATAATGATATAATTACTTGTGCATTTATTCAGGAAGCCACATTGAGTCGTCGGGAACCTTTCAGGAGAGTCATGTTTTTTTTATTTTAAGATGTTTTTAGCCAATGAATGAGTGTTTATATAAGTGGGAGGAAACACCTATGCATGGGAGGGGTCAATGCTGTCCCCGTACAGATGGAAACAGATGGCGATTAGTCCACTTCCTGTACTGCCTTCTCCCGGCAAGCCAGGGTATTGGCACCTTGACGCCCACGGGAAGAGAGTTTGATTAACAAAAATATTGTGCTATCCACTAACCCTCGCCACCACAGTGCTGGATTACAGGCATGTGCCTGATGATAGACAAGAAATGTAGATGTAGTGAGCAAAGAGAAATGCAGACAAAAATGTCATGAGATGAGAGATGCAGACAAGATATACATGAGATATTAATTTGTGCTTTATGTTAATTAGATTCTGTTTATTCGAATTTGAAGCAAGCTGATATTTAATGGACCCTAATTTCTGAAGAATCTGGGACACCTTTTGCTTGGTTTGTTTATATGCACCGCACCGACACTGTTCAGACGGCCAGGTTCGTAGTAAGTCACCGCTTCACCACCCTACATTCCTCACCAGGGTGCAAATGCAGGTCTGAGTGCACACACGGAACAGATAACAGCTGTGTGCGCCAAATAGAGTGCAAATGCTGTATTCAAGCTGTAGTCACTCATGTGCGTTACCAACCTACGATGCATGCCAGGGCGAAGTGGTACCACTTATGTTTACTCTTCCACAACAATCCTCAGTTAGACCTTTTTTCCCCAAGTCATGCTATTCTAGAGTAAACCCATAATGTAATGGTTCCCAGTTAAACTTTAACAAAGTTAAAAGGGAAATAAAGATGTTTTTTCACGGTTTTATTCCATTTACGTATAGCCACTTTGACCGACACCGGAATTTAAACAGATTACATTTATGCATTTAACTAACGTGTATGTATGTACACAAGAGAACATATACAAGTTAGAGACATCGTACTGAATATTAAGAAAAGTGTGTTTGACCAGAGCTTATCACTGTTTATGCCTCCTCGGATTGGTTACCAAAATGTTGCATTCAAAAATAACACGTTTCAAAAGACTGTTGCTTTTCCATCCTGCCATACGAAAGAAGATCGCTATTACAGATGAGATGTCCAATGGCCCAAAGAAGCAACAGAGTGGAGATAAAGCAATAAAATCAGCTTGTGTGCAAGGTGCTAGATGGTTTGTTGCATCGCAGGATCGTGAGATGGCAAGGGCCTGGGAAAGGACTTCATTTAGCAGTGGCTTGATCATGGCTGATGATATGTAGAGAGTAATGTATTTATATAAACAGACAGTTACTGTACACCATTATTCAAGTCAGCTATACAAATAGTTAACACACAAGACGATACTGGAAACTAAATGGGACAAGGAAAATATAAATTGATTTTGCGGACAATAGCATTTTCTCAACCATTATTGGTGCCACCCAGGAGAGAGATTAAGGTAGGGGTGAGGAACCCAACACACCCCTAGGGCTTAATTTCATAGGGCCCATGGCTACGTGAGGCTGACCACCTAACTCACTACAACCATCTTAGCCGGGTGCTGATGTCTGGAGCTGCGAGCCAACATCAATGAGTTTGGCGATAGGTAGGCATCTTCTTGGTTCTTTCGGTAAAGTCACGTAGAAGGGAAATAATAAAATAACAAAAATAAAACAGTAGCCGTCCTCCGACAGCCCTGTTCTTCACCTGAGGACGGCTGCTTGCGTTGTGGCCAAAACGTCGTGAGAATTGTATTTGATGTTTTATTTTTATTATTTTATTATTTCCCTTCTACGTGACTTTACCGAAAGAACCAAGAAGATGAATCCCTGCAGTCACGAAAGCTTTAAATCGATAGGTAGGCAGTCGCAGGCATCACATTGGTACGGTCAAGGCGAGCCCTACGTTTATTTTTGGATAATATTAAGGTGTGTGTGTGATGTGTGCCCACATTACCGGTCCTTCAGGAAGTATTTAAAAGTCCTACTCAATTCTCAGTAAGGAAATAATTCCCTACTCCTGGATTAAGGGGAGTGAGAGAGGTTCGCTTTCATAAACTAAGGTACAAAGCTTATATCGCGAGACAACAGTGAAGGTGGGTGAAAGGTCTGGCCTTGTGTGCGCAATGATTAGCCGGGCTCTTGGTATGGGGAGTGCAAATACTCGACAGTCAGGAAAAGTTAAGCAACCCACTGCGTTGAAACGTTCCATTCATAAACATCCTCCAAATTACTTAACCATATGGACAATATACTTTTGCCGTGTACATGGAAAACATTTATGAGGTGTAAAAGGCTAAGCATTTCTCTATATCAGGGGTCGGGAACCTTTTTGACTGGGAGAGCCATAAAAGCCAAATATTTCTAAATATATTTCATTGAGAGCCATATAGTATTTTTAACGTATAATAAATTAAATGTCTTACTTTTAATGCGACTTCTGGTCACGGGACCCGTGACCCGAGAAATTTTATCTTCAAAACTAATTTCTGTTTACTTTAAAATGACACAGTATTATTAAGCAATATCACAAGTATTTTAAAATCAGTTCCAAACTGATTTTATTTTTATTTTTATATTATTATTTTTTTCAACTCAAAATTGTCTGGAAGCCATATGCCGTCACCAGAAGAGCCATATATGGCTCGCGAGCCATAGGTTCCCGACCGCTGCTCTACATTGTATGTACGAAGATAACTGCCTTCAGCTCATCATCAGCCTTCAACCACTGCTGCATGTCTCTCCCCAAGCTGTTGCAATCTTTCACGGTCTCGTGATGCAACAATCTATATAGCTCCTGCACATGCGCCGCTTTCCCTCTGGGTGCCACTCCACTTTTAATCTCGACAGCCGCTTTATCATCCATTCTTGTGACGTGTCCTGCCAAAGTCTAATTACTTGTTCAATGGTTAATGTGATATCTCTAACTTGTGCTTGTTCTCTATTCAATGCTTTGCCATTTGTTTTTCATTGTAATTCCAGAGGCCATTCTTCATTATTCTTTTTGAACTTTTCAACTTTTGCTCCATTTACATGGTCAATTGGAGTGTTTTTGATCCATATTTCATAGCAGGGAATTCCCAACGTCAGGGGGTTGTGGTTCCTTCTGTAAATGGCTTTATTATTTCAAAAACTTTTATGAAATAAGTTACTTGAGTCGCAAATTAAAAACGGCACATGATCGCACGAGAATTAGTAGCAATCTGCTGTATTTGTTGATGAATGTGTCGAGTTTGTTATTTGCGCTTGCGCACCACTGCCAACGCAATAACACAATATTTTTGCGTGTGATTGGTGGGCAAGGCAAGCTGCAGAAAATTACAATTTTGTTCATCCGTGTTTAAATCTCAGTTGCACTGTCATTGGGAAGCCAACATGGACACATGCCAGCTCACTTCTCAATGTGCATTCTTTTACAGCCACGGGAACGAAATGGAACAAGGTATAGGTTACCAAACCATCCCACCTCAGTTTCAACTAGAATATCCACATCAACTCCATCTCAGGTTTCACCGATCATATGAAATTCACGTAAAACGCAAGTGTTGCTGTGGAGAATTCTGGGTATAAACAGAAGCATCAATCGGTTCTCTGTCTCCATATATAAACAACACATTAACGTAGTCCATCAGCCAGTATTAGTCAGCAGCATATGTACGTGAAAGGAAACACACGAGACTGGTTTCAACCTTCAAGGTCTCACCATCAGATAGGCTCGTTGAACAAATGCTGCCCGGTTAGCAACCTTGGCAAGAGTACTCCATCGAAACTCCGGGGGGCCTTGTTTCACACAGCTCAGGAGACACACTTTACCTTTTTCTTGGCCCTCCTCTTTTCTGCCTTCCTCTTGGCTTTCTCTTCCACTTGCAGAAGCTCATCTCCCATCCTCCGCTAGTTCTGCCCACAAAGAAACAATCCATGAAAACGTAAAAAAAAGGCGAAAGTACACCTTTTAAATTGTGTTATCCCATTTACGATTGCTCTTTGGAAATGACCTTGCGTCAGGAACATCAATCTTCATTCGACGCCACAAGTGTGCAAGATAATTAGGATGCAACGTAGATTGTATCCCTTAAGTTCGTGCTGTTTTCTATGCCGACCTTGGATACGCAAGTCATTATAGAATTTAAAAGATGTAAGGATTCAGTGAAAATATATTAAAAGGCAAAGGGCCAAAGTACATTAATTTGGATAAAATTAAATAAACCATATGGTGCATTGGATAATATTGTTATAAGTACACAATAAGGAGCTAAATTCATTACTGTTCATTTATAAATATATATAATTGTGAGTCTTACCATTTTAAATCGAGTTTCTTTAATCAACCAAATGTGCCCCGTATTGTTAAGAGCAAGGATAACACAGTGTACTGGGCATGCTTTGTCAAATGAAGGCCGATGCAAATTAACACAAAACTTTTGAAAATGTTACATAAAAATGCAGGACTTTATAAGTGTCTTCATGAGGCACATTACAACAACACAGCAGAAATGCCTTCTGATCCATCATCATGACAGCAGATTGATTATCCGCACATTTGCTCCACTTATCGACGGCGAAAAATATCTGAATAGTGCTGATCAAACGCAAGACCAAGGCGGTTCTCATAAGTAGATACGTAGAGATCTCCTCTAGTAGAGATCTCCTCTACGGATCTCCTGTAAAGGAGAAGTCTACAGGAGAACTATACTTATCTCCCGTATAGGACAATGCTACTCATCTCCTGTACAGAATTCTACGGATCTGTAATGCTCTGCACCTCAAGCTGTGAGGAATGAGACTGCACGAAATTATTATTTATATACTTTCAAAAAATGTCCGGAATGTTGGAAGCATACAATTACCGTGCATACATTCACGTGGAGACAAAAAAAGACAAAAACAACTCAACCAGGGCTCATGTTACGCTGCGTTTGTAATGTGGTGATATTTTTATTTTGCTCACCTTAACTGTATATTTGGGGAGACTACCGCTCTTTGCAAGAGCGATCCAGCCGTTTGAGCAGAGAATATATTTAGAGTTCGTCGTGCTCTTGACGAGTTCAACCTCTCAATTTGGGTCTTACAAAGATCAATGAGCATTTACCATATGGGTGGTTCATTGCACTTATCCCATTGCGGCTGCACTATGAGACAACGTCTGAGCCCCTCATGAACTCACACAGACCAGAGCAGACTGAAGAGGCACAAGTACAATACAGTGCTGCCCGCAATTAATTATTGAATATCATTCTCACAAATGGATTCCGAGCTGAAAATAAGCAATGTCTAGACATTTCTACAAACGCCAGGACGTGTTTTGGAGCATGTTCATTAAAAATAATAATACTTCATTTGTGAACTCGCCACTCGATGCAATTTGCAGAACCACAAAGTATCTTATTAAAAAAGCTATCTATTCGTGACATTGTGATATTAACATAGCCGTGATGGCGGTTTAAATTACACAGTAGTGTCGTTTCACTTAGACGAACTTGACACAACGAATTAATGCATGTAACCGAAAAGCATTCACAATATATTAATAAATAAGACAATGCTCATGTTGTTTACATGAAGTGTAATCAATCCAACATTGAAGACGTGTCTCGCAAATTAATGAATAGCAAGCAAAATACACAAACAGTTGATGTTCGTGTGTCCTTCCCATGGTAGTTAATTAGAAATAAGTATAACCCGTAAAAACAAAGTTTTTCACTCTAAATCCTTAATATGCGTGGCGGCTAGAGTCCTCTCGTCCTCTGGCTTGAGACGGCTGCCACCTATGGGTCAGATGATTGTCTGCCAGTATTAAGCAATTGGTAATTAAATATTTAATTTGTTTTCCCTAAACAGTGTAAAATTTTGGAGAAAAGAAATTTCACGAAAATAAATTGTCTCGCACAACGAGTCTGAGTGCAGCTCGATTGGATCACGGGAAGTGGCTGGGGGGGGGGGGAGGTTATTTAACAAAAAAGGTACAAATCAGGGGCTGCTACCATTCTTAAATGACAACACATTTACGTCATTTATAATATACACCGGGGGCTGTACTACTCACAACTGCCAATTCATTTTTAATTTATGACTTGAACTATCGCTTCACATATTCCTCGTAAAAACACAGGTGTCCATATACAGAGTACACAACAAACACGTGTGCATTACCTACTATAATCACCCAGAAATGTCTGTCCGTCCCACGCGTGACGTCACTCCACATGAGGCCCACCCCTCCGCGTGACGTCACTCCACATGAGGCCCACCCCTCCGCGTGACGTCACTCCACATGAGCCCCACCCTCGTCATGAATATTCATGATTGGGTACATCTTGACACGAACGCAAGGCGAGCTCAATTAAATCATTAATTACGCAAAGTCGCTTCAAATATGACGTTTCTTTACAGAAAGTGACGGTAAAAAATAAATCTACACAGTGCTACATCCGTGCGTGACGTCACTGCAAAAGAGCCCCCCCTTTCATTAATATTCATGCACTCTACTCCACATGCCGCACCCCTCCCCAATAACCATTAGCGGGTGACGTCACTCCACATGCCGCACCCCTCCCCAATAACCATTAGCGGGTGACGTCACTCCACATGCCGCACCCCTCCCCAATAAATCTGATTATTTCAGATTTACTGCAACATACATCCGTCCTTGGACGGGCAAAAAAAGCTAGTAATCGATAAGAGTTCATGGTGGCAGAGATCATTTTGGTCGTAAGTTTTACCTACGAGACATATTTTTAAGGTTACAGTGCGACAAAAAGAAGCGTACACTTTATTTAGGCAAATTCATTGGCAGCGACAGTTTAATATTTCTCCTTTTATTCGAAAAAAACTCTTCTTGTACCGTTCCATTTCAGTGGCGCAACGGAGTTGTGTGTTCCACTGCTGGTAGCTCCCATGCATTCACCCAGCAGCGGATAGGTAAAAATGGGACTGTTAGATGAGCATAACAGTATTTTCTCGCAAAAATGTCCAAGTCTTTCTATATACATCAATGCCTGCAACGTTACCCTTGTCGAACAATGCATTTTTGTGAGAGAAAGAAACTACTTTAAGCCCATAGGCATTGCAATACAGTAGTTGAAACACGTCGTTTATCACGTGCATTTGGAAGCAGGCAAGTCCGACCCGCATTCTTCCATCCAATGGCCCTTCATAGCGTACAGAATGGACCACTGCTAACGTGACATTATGCATGAGCAGACACTTACTTAAACACATTGGTGAAATCTTGACTTAAAGCTTTTGTGACTGCAAGAATTCACATTCTTTGGGTCTTTCAGTAAAGTCACGTAGATAGGTTCAAAGAAAATAATAAAAAAAAATTACAAAAAACTACGTTTCGATTACAACACCAGCGAAGGTCATCAGGAGGAAATATACATTTTGGGGGTGATATTTGCTTCATCTCATGTGCATCACCCACTAAGCCAGCCTGCAGCACAGGCTGGTCCAGATGTCTCGTGACCCCCCTCCCCCCCCCCAATTAATTGGATTGTTTGTTGTCCTTGCAACGTTCTGGCCTGCCCCTGCTGGACATCTGTGAAGAAGAGCTTCATAGCTCATCGGATTCCTCCTGTATAAATACATATTCTGAAACGCACTGTGCTTAAATACAGGCAACGTAAAATCTTTACTCACGAATGTCCAGCAATTCTGAAACTGAAAGTTATGCTACGATAACCATGGAAGAAGGTATACATAAAATACTGTGGTTTCAAAGTGTAGTTTTATATACTTCATATGCAAAACATAGTGAACAAATGACCCGGATTGCACCCATCCTATCTTGTCAGATGTCAGAGGCTAAGCATGCGTTGAGCCTGGATATTAAATTGGGGTCACAAGACATTTGGACTACCCTGTACAGCACATACTACCTAGGTGTGTTCACGGTTGTATTCTATCGCTCTCTGGAGTATCTCTCCAGAGTATTTCAAGGTTGTACTACCGTGTGTTGAGTTCGGTTTGATGTCCAACGTTTCGCGTCACTGAAGAATCTCCCAGAACGTAGGGAAACAACAACATCAGCAAGGCTTTTGTCATAACCTCTCCCACTGGGTGTTTAACTCAAGTGCATCAAAGCAAAGTATGTTCATGGTTTACCTTTACAAGTGAATTGTTTTACAGTTCACGAAACAAAGGGCAAATATTGCATGACTTTGCAAAGGATAAATAATAATAAACACCACCATGTTATAGGGCATTTTAGAGAGAAACTAAAATGTTGTGTCAGGTTATTATAAACAGCAGTCTCATTCTGAAAAACAAGATTTGATCTGCTGCTAGCTCCTTAAGGGTTTCCTGCAAAGTCTTAAATGGAAACAAAATCAAGGAAGGACAAATGTGTCCAATGAGGAGCGAACAGACCGATGCCACGTATCATCACGAACTTTGTCAAAGAATGTTTCCATGCAATACAGAGTACACTGTACTCGCGCAATGGATGGTTAACGTCTTGTTGACCTTTTAACTTTTTTTATGACGCGGTCACCCTTCCAGGAAACCTGCTTTAATTACAAGACTTAAAACAAGTACAGAATGCCCACAATGTAAAATATTTCCCAACTCGCAAACGGTGTTGTTTTCATAGTAATAGGTTTTTACCCTTTCAACTGGTACAAAAACTGACACCTTTATACAAGGCATCATGTTTGCAATAACCACAACACAAGCAGTCAAAATGCAAACAAAAAGAAACAACTCTGATGATGATAATGATATGCACTGTCCTTGAAACTGATTGGTCCACACCCGAGACAGCTTTTCTTAGAGCCTAGTCTCCATTGGTGCCTTATATAAAGGTGTCAGATTTTGTACCAGTTGAAAGGGTAAAAACCTATTACTATATTTTGCCACTGGTAAAGGAGGTCTCATAGTGGTGTTGTTTTCAGTGAATG